TTAGGCTGTGGATAATCCATGGTTAATCAGCAAGAAAAAAGAAAAAGCAGGGAAGAGCAATAAAGATGATTAGGAGACTGGAGACAAAAGTATGCAATGAATGGTTGCAGGGTTTGGGTATGCCTAGTCTAATAAAGAGAAGGACTAGGGATGACATCAAGCAGATTTCTACTTCTTGGTGGGCTGTCACAGAGAAGACAGGATGGACATATTCTCCAAAGTAAAAGAAAGCAAGAAGTATGGGTGGAAACATATTAAAGGGAGATCCAACTAAGGAAAAATCTCCTGACAATGAAAACAATTAATCAAGGGAAAAAGTTGCTTCCTGGAGTTGTGAGTGCTCAATTGCTATAGCTTTTCAGGAATAGACTCGACCACTATTTGTCCAGGATGGTATGTGGTCTTTTACCTTGAGTAGCCGGCTAGACTAGAAGACGTCCAAGGTCCTTTGGAGTCCTGTGATTCTATGAGTTTTTGATCAGTATTCTTTCAATGAATATTTCAACTCAGCTATAGATTCATTGAATCAGCAAGGTATCAGGTTCACATTTAACAAGCTTATTAATCAGAAAGTTACAGCAGGTGTCCTCAACCTTGGCAAATTTAAGACTTGTGGACTTCAACTCCCAGAATTCCTCAGCAAAGTTGGCTGAGGAATTCTGGGAGTTGAAGTCCACAAGTCTTAAAGTTGCCAAGGTTGAGAACCCCTGAGTTACAGTATACTTTGTCTAATGACTTGGTGAAATCAGTATGTTACAGATGTTCATACCATTCCTACAATTTTAATAAGTTGAGTAACTCTTAGAGTAAGAGACCACCCAGCTGACCTTGGCTGATCTCAAGAAAGTAAACATGGCTGAACTGTATGTAGATGGGGGACCACCAAGACATCCCAGGCTTACAAAATAGATTGTGAAGATAAAAAAAAAACCCTCATAGAAGCAAAGGACTGGCAAAGCACATCTGTATTGAGAAAAATGTCTGATTAAATGAACAGAGCCCCCATTTGACATGTTCTTGAAAAATCCAAGCAGATTTTTAGCCTTTACTGCTTAATTGCTCCATGAGCCTCTCAGAATACAACAGGTATCCCTGAGCTCCATCATTTTCAGCTATGTAGGCTTGCAGGCTCAGATTTCCCTGTCAGCTGCCCTTTGCTGAGAATTCGGGGAGCTCAGGACCACACATCTACAACTTGGCAAGGTTGGGAAACACTGCTGAGCTGCCAAAACCTTAGATCCCCAAATCTTATTTTGTTGAAGATTCCCTCCTTCAATCCCCTCATACTTCATCTATTTTCTTGGATTATTCGTTCAGCTACATAAGATAAAGACCTGAGTTTTAATATGACATAATCCTTTCTCACTCCAAAAACACATACTAAGTTGACGCCAAACTTACAAATAAAGTTCTGTGTCATCTAGCACAGTGGTTCTTAACCTGGGCGATATTGCCCCCCAGGAGGCGATTTCATTTTTCAGGGGGGCGATGGAACAAAAAGGGGCAACACGGGGGTGAAGGAACAAAAAGGGGGCAATATGGGGGCGATGGAGCGAGAAGCTTGGGGGACACTTTTGAGACTTTTTCATACAGTGAATCGCTGTATATCTGTCATACAAAAACATCAGATCGCTCGCTATTAGTGGATTGAATTGTGTTTCCAAATGTTCCTCCAGCTATCTTCAGTACAGAACGCCGTACATATGTGAATACGCATCACTTATCTTCATGCGCATTGCGCAGCAGTGTCAACCCATACAGTGGCGCGCCATTGGCCAGAATATGGGAGATACGGGAAAAGGACTGGAAATAAATTATTTGCATCGATATGTCCTGATGACAATTTTAAAGAAAACAAAAAAGTGTTTGCATAAATCGAAGAATTATTTCCTATGTTGTGATTGAGAGGTTATGTTGGGGGAGGGGGGCGATGACAACTTCCTCATTGGCTCAAGGGGGCGATTCATTCAAAAAGGTTAAGAACCACTGCTTTAGCCGATTAATGAAGTTTCAAGGTTTGCAATTTATGCTAGCCATAAATATTGTACAAAATGAGGCATCACATTGAAAACTGATTCATTGAATAATAAAATTATCAACAAAAGAAAAATAATTCAGTAATGTCCACCTGTAAAAAAGACAAAGATAAAAAATACTTTGGCATGGCAAAATGATTATATAAGGTGAAGGGTCTACTTAGCTTTAGTGTCATTATAAGACAGATTCACTTACTGTCAATTAAGTACAAACTTTTCTTTGTATCTTCTTCTTTGTAGCTTCTCAAATTGGAAAAATATTTCTTCATAAAAAAGTATTAGTGATTTGTAAATTTCTAAATTTATTTACCATCAGTCTCAAAAGATAACAATTCAAACACAACATTGTCCCAAGACATAATCCTAAATGATAAGCATTAAAATAGGATGCTGGGCAGATGAGAAGTACTCCAAGAGCTAGACTCACCTTTTTAGTAGAATCTGGGGGAATATCAGTCCCATTGATTAATTCCCCATTATCTGCAAAAACAGGAATGTTGGGACTGAAAATCATAAGGTCACTCTTGGCACCAGCCTCTGTGTTCACCCCTGCCAGGATGTGGCTGTGACGATTGGAATAGGACCAGCTGCCCACTTCACTGGCACAGACCAGGGTGGCCATGCCAGGGCCATAAACCATGGATTCCTTTGCCTTGCAGTGGCATCGCAGGGCCACGTAGATGAGAGTGGCCAGCAAGAAGAGGCTGGAAACAGAGCAGATGGCAATGATCAGATAGACGTTGATCGAGTCCACCAGGGGCACGAAGCTCTCCCCTGACCTTCGAAGATTAATATCCGTTTTGATTGTCTGACCACTTGTCACCAGAGACACACTCAGAGTGGCTGTGGCTGAGAGCTGAGGTTTTCCATGGTCCTTCACCAGAACCAGAACACTCTGGATTTTGCCTCCTTCTGATTCATCCAGAGGATATTTGGTACTCACCTCACCGCTATACTGGCCCACAGACCATGGACTGCTGCTTTCTTCAACCAGTTCGTACCTGAGCCATGCATTGTAGCCAGAATCCGCATCCAAGGCATGGATCTTGCCTACAATATGCCCAGGCATCACGGGGACCACTAGAAGAATCAGGTTCTCTTCTGATGATCCTGACACGACAGGTGTGTTGTCGTTCTCATCCAGCACAAAGACCTGAACAGTCGCATTGCCACACAAGGAGGGCATTCCAGCATCCTTGGCTCTCACCTGGAACTCCAGCAGTTTCAACTCCTCATAGTCCAAGGACTGCAGAGCATAGAGCTTTCCACTCTCTGAATGTACAGAGATGTAGCTTGACAATGGCCACAGCTTCTCGTCTATCCAATAGGTGATCAGGGCATTCTCAGCTACGTCTGGGTCCAAGGCAGATACTGTGAAGATGTGAGCACCAGGGGGATTGTTCTCCTTCACAAAGACTGTGTAGGAGGGCTGTGTGAAGGCTGGAGCATGATCATTTATGTCACTGATAGGCACTAAGAGGCTGATGCTAGAAGACAGTGGTGGGACACCCTGATCTTCCACTGTCACAACCATCCTATACTCAGCCACCTGCTCTCGATCTAGGACTGCACCAACAATCAGGGAGTAGTAGTTCTTGAATGTGGATTCGAGTTTGAAGGGTACTCCAGGGGGAAAGAGGAAACAGCTGATTTGTCCATTGGTGCCAGAATCCCTGTCAGAAGCACTGAGGATGGCTACCACAGTCCCTGGAGGGGAGTCCTCTGGCAGTGGCACAGAGAGAGAATTCACAGATAATTCTGGAATATTGTCATTCATGTCCAACACTTCAATGAGAACTTTACAGTGTCCTGATAATGGAGAATTGCCTTTATCTTCTGCTACAATTGGAAGTTCATAGAACTTACTTTCTTCATAATCCAATTTTCCAATAACTCTGATTTCCCCAGTATCAGACTTTATACCAAACAACTTTGTGACATAATCTAGGCTATCAGTAAAAAAATAAGAGATTTCCCTATTAATCCCCTCATCTAAGTCTGTAGCATTCAGAGTAATAACTAATGATCCACTAGCTGTATTTTCTAGCAACTTTACCCTGTAAACAGATTGGTTAAATACAGGAGGGTTGTCATTAACATCCAGCACATTGATGACCAGCTGAACAGTTCCTGTGAGTTTTGGTTCACCCCCATCAGTGGCTGTCAGTACTAAATGATGCACAGGGCTCTCCTCCCTGTCAAGCGGAACCTTTAACACAAGTACTACAGATTTACTATCATCTTCATCATTTCCTGTATCAAGAGCAAAATGTTTGTTTGGGCTGAGCTTGTAATTTAACAGAGCATTAGTACCAATATCTGCATCAGAGGCTCCCTTTAAAGGGAATCGGGTACCAGATGCTGTTAGGATTTCAGCCATGCTCAGGATCTGTTCCCTAGCAGAGAAGACGGGAGCATTGTCATTCATGTCTTTGATTTCAACCTCCACATGGAAGAACCTCAGAGGTTTCTCCACAATCACCTCCAGATGAAGGACACAGTCTGCAGTCTTGGCACACAGCTCCTCCCTGTCTATCCGGGAATTTACAAACAAGATCCCATTCTGCAGGTTTACCTCAAAATAGTCCTTCTCTCCTTTGGACAGCATCCGGAACATCCGAGGCACCAGCTCGCTCACCTCCAACCCCAGATCCTGGGCGATGCGGCCCACAAAGGTGCCGTGCTGAGATTCCTCCAGCACAGAATAATGGAGCTGGCCGCTCCCCATTTTCCAGGCGGTCTGGAGCAGAAGCAGCTGCAGCAGCCCCGTCGGCCAGGTAAGCATCGCAGACACAGGCACAGCACCCGCAAGCTCTTCTCTTTTCCTCTAAATACCTTGCTTTCAAGGGGTCAGGAGCGGAGCCCACGTAGCCCAGCCATACTGGCAATGCTTTCATAGGTTGGACCTTGGATTGTTGAGATTTTTCTGTTGTTCGATATTTCCCTTGTGGATCTGGCCGGCAGGAATGTCGGTCCCTTTAAGGGAGGGGCTCTGCATTTTCAGTTTCACTTAGAGGCTTTCCTTAGGAAACAGCGACCTCTTGTGACCGCGTTTCGAAATGGAGAAACAGACCTCCATTCTTTTATTCAGCGTCTGTGATACTTTTTTCCTTTGAGGGATTGCTGTTCCTTTATGTATCTCTGATGTGTAGTTTTCCTTTTGTTTTTTAACTATTATATTAATTTAGGTCTTACATTCAACCCTTGGTGCTTTCATGGAATGGAATGGAATGGAATGGAATGGATATTTGTCTGCTTCTCTGGCCCTCTTTCCCATTGTTCCCAATAGAGGAGCACCAGACAAGTGAGAGAAAGTTGAATTAGTTGCAAACCATTTGAATCAGACTTTTGACCAAGATCACAAACATTAATTCCAAAGAACTGCATAAGGTTATTCAAATGCTATGAAAGCAGAAGTACTTTTTAGTTTTATTTCTCAGATCTTGGCTGGATATGCAGCTCTTGAACTTTTTAGGCAAATTTAAAAAGCAAGTTCTCAAAACTCATGTGATGTCTTAAGTGGCTTATTCCTGAAGTAAATTATATGTTGCAATTAATCTAATCTGTGTATTTCATATGATGCTTAGCTTATGTACTAAATCTTGTACTAAATCTTTTGAGACAGAAAAGATAGTGAAATTCAAACTTTACTCTTTTTTATTTCAAATGACTTAATGTCGCTAAATAACCTCACATGAGAATTTTCCATTTTTTTCCTTTATACACACACACACACACACCTACTAAACATCTAACCATTATGAAGAAATTTGTACCTTTATTTTTCACACATCACGACACGTCATGTGACGTTGCGAGTTTGACACCCCTGATCTAGAGGGTTTATCTGTTTTTGTTTTTCAAAAACCTTTACTGTAGTTTTTTATTGCTTAGGTAGAGTAGCTTGAATGTAGAAACCACCAACAAGAAATGTTTGTGCTTATAAAATTGGAATTGTCCAGTGTTCCATCTCCTCCACCCTGTGACCAAGAAAACAAGTTAAAGGTTTCATTAGGCTATCTGTGAAAAATAAGCCAAGAGCCAATGCTGGCACTTATGTTAACACTCAACAATAATTTTCGTGCTCCACAGAACTGAGTTGGAATGGGAGTGTCTGCCATTTCAAACATACGTCACATTGAATAGTAGTTGGGATCTCTATGGCTCTCCACCTTTGTAATGCAATTCATTTGATGGGAGCTGCTTTGCAGATTGGTAACCAAAGTCATCCCAAAACTTGCTAATGCCTTTCTGAGCAACTTCAATATCCTTCCAATATTGAGCCAAATGCTCTCCCATTGTTTTTAACAAGTGCCGATATTCTTTTGCATCTGCAAAGATTTTCTTGTTGTGTATAGGTCAAAAACAAGGGAGGGGACATCCACTACCCCACAACTCCACCACATACCATGTCACCTTCCAGCTTCAGCCCGCCTTTTCATACATCTTAATCAACTGACTGCAATTGTAGACAAAACATCCCATCCAGATACCGTTGCTCTATGTTCACACCAAAAATGAAGTTCAATTCTTTTGGCTTCTTTAGTGCTTGCTGTTTTGCCTCCCTGATCATCTTTTTAACATCTGCCTCTCTGCACATAGTTATTGCTACGTCTTGAAGCTGACTCAGCATACACTGGATTCCCTGGTAAGATCTCCTCCCAGCCACAACTTTAAAGCATAGGCTTTGTTTTCTGCTTCTTGTGCCTTCTCTTCCACAATCCAAGGCACATGTTCTGCTTTCTTCACTTCTTGTTCTGCTCAAGTCTTGAAGCACTTGGATGTATACTTGTCCACTCCAGCTCCATTATCCCAAAAGCATAGCATGAATCCACCTCAGAGGGCATCACGATTCTCAGTAAAGATGTCCATTCTTATGTCATTTGAGTCTTTGGCATTATCTACAAATTTAGCAAGGGCTCCAAGCAAGAATTCATGGGTGATTTGTCTGTCAGCCCCAAAGATAGCTTGTTCCCTTGGGCACATGGGTGATATAAGGGACTTCAATTATTGTGGTTCTGCTCCTAACAATCACCTTCAATGCCACCAAGAGCTACACAAAGAACTTGTTAATTCATGAGAAGGTGGAAACTAAGCGTTTGAATCACTGCAGGTAGAAGACAAACTTGCATTATAGGCAATCAGTTGTTTCATATAGCTTAATTAATCTCTAACGTCTATGGAGATTCTCAATCATCCAAGTTGTAGTTGTCCCAAAGGTGCTTTTCAAAAAGCAACTGGACTTTGTTTTTTCTTGAAAATGTTTCACTTCTCATCCATGAACTGAAGAAGCTTCTTGGATGAGAAGTGAAACATTTTCAAGAAAAAACAAAGAAAGTCCGGTTGTCTTTTGAAAAGCACCTTTGGGATTATTGTCTGCAGTGACGTTTCTTATCTGGCTGAATTGGGTCTGTGACATTTCTACAGGGTCCTAGCCAAAATAATGTGATTAGGGACCTCTACTTGGTAATGGTGATTTGGGAGTTTATAGCCAGTCTCCAGAAATGAAAGTTGTCTCTGGAAGCCGGTTGCCGGGCCCCACACGGCAAACACTGCATGCCAAAATCCTGCTTGGATTTTGAGATGGACCTATTTCAGTCAGATCTCAGAAACAGGGGAGAGTTCTGTCAACAGGCAATAGTGGATTTTGACCTTCCTTGCCAGCTTCCCTATTGACTTTCTGGAGAAGCCGGCAGGGAAGGTTTCAAAAGGTGATCATATTATTACAGGGCACTGGGCAACCAATCATGATGGGGATTGGATTGCTAAATGCCCAGATAACAATCAAGTGACAAGAGGGCACTGCAACAGCCATAACTTTGGATCATTAAGCATACCTGTAAAAATGAAACACCCTCAGAAACTCTCAGCCACAATTTTATCTGGGTTGAGCCCATGAAAATCTGGTGAGAGATCAAGAAGAACCAGTATGACTGCATTACCCTCATCTCAGTTCTGTCAGAGGTCATGAATCAGTCAGGCCAATGATCTCTCTGTGTCATATCCAGATCTGAAATCTGAAAGGAATCCAAATAATCAGTTTCCTCCAGGACCCTCTGTTATGACAACTACAACACCTTTTCAAAAATCTTGTTTCGGAGACTGGTCTAAAATGCTCAAGTACAGATGGATCCAGTGAAGGCTTCTTAAAAACAGCAGGAAAACTGCTATGACTCCTTTCATTTTTCTTTCATTTTTCAGTCAATTATTATCTATCCATTATTATATTAATTCAAGGTTTGAACCTCCTTCTGAGTTTGAAGACTTTTGCAACACTTTCCTTTATTTCCCCAAGTCTATTTCTGTCTTTAGTATTGTTACAGATCTTATAATATTGCTTCTTGTCTCTTCTAAGACTTCTCTAAAATTCTTTGTGAGGTTTCTACCCTGACATCTTTGTATTTCTTGGTTCTGGCTTCTTTCTGGGAAATTTCTATTTTTTGTTCCATGGAACTGTTTATTCCACAGTTCAAAGCAATTCTGGAAGTTCTCCTTCGAAATGTTATGGTTAGTCCCTGGCCACATCTTTGTTCTTATAAACTGAGCTCTTCTACTTCTTCGTACCAATGATATAGTCAATTCAATTGGACTGACAGAAATTGATGTGTGGTTCTCCCACCTCATTTCCATTTTCTAAGCCATGGAGTCCAATTCTATTTTCTTCCTTAATTTTTCTAATTTTTGCAATCCAATATACATACGCAGCATACTTTGCTTCTAAGTTCTACTGAATATTCAAATCACAATTTCACCATAAAAGTTATTGACCGCCTCTTTTTCTGCATCAGTTTTGGGAACATAAACTTAGATAATCAGCATATTAAAGGGTTGTTCAGGAAGCCTAATTAATATTATTTTGTCATTGATTGCAGTGTAGCCAAGTATTGCTCTTGTTATATTCTCCTGATAATAAAGGCAACACTCTTATTGCTCTGTTTTTCATATCCTAAGTAGTCAGCTATGATTAAACATGTTCCATTGCACTTCGTTTCAGTTTTCTAATGCCTATAATGTCAATGTGTGGTTGATCTATTTCCTTTTTCTCTGTGTTTTTGCTTCTTATGTTCCATGTTCCCGCTTAAGTCTGTCTTCAGATTTTGAATTTTCTCCTCCTAAATCAGCAGTTTAGTATCCTGCATGCTTTCATCCAGAGATACCAAAAATACCCTTAGTACTCCAAAAGATCCTCAGCTATTCAATCCAAGGGGCCCAATCATCTGGTACTATATCATCCATGTCTATCCATGCTGTTGGATAGTAGCAACTGTCTCTTCTACAACTTTCTTGTAGAGAAGAATGAGTAACCATGTATAGCTCGGTACCAAGGTATATTCAAAGCCTCCTGTTCTAGTCAGAATCACTCAATCTAGTGCATATATCGTGGGAGAAGTTCCAGATAATCCCACAAGTCCAGACTGAAACCAGGTGGGTTTTTTTTTTATCATAACCTCAACATGAATGAGCAATCTTTAGAATAGAATAGAGCTGGAAGGGACCTTGGAGGTCTTCTAGTCCAGCCCCCTGCTCGAGCAGGAGACCCTATATCACTTCAGACAAGTAACTGCCTAGTTTCTTCTTAAAAACCTCCCATGATGGAGCACCAACGATTTCTGAAGGCAAGCTGTTCCACTGGTTAATTGTCCTCATTATCAGGAAGTTTCTCCTTAATTCTAGGTTGCTTCTCTCTTTGATTAGTTTCCAACAATTGTTTCTTGTCCTGCCCTCTGCTGTTTTGGAGAATAATTTGACCCCCTCTTCTCTGTGGAAGCCCCTCAGATACAGGAATACTGCTACATGTAACCCCTGTTTCTTCTTTTCTTCAGACTAGCCAAATCCAATCTCCCTTTGAATATTAGATTAACTATGACAATCTTTTAGAAAACAATAATATGCCAGAATATGCCAGAAAGTCTCCAGTAAGTCATCTTGCTACTACTTTGATAACTGTAAACTGTAAAACGTGGTATAATTGTCATGGGACAGTTGCTGTGGGGTTTAGTATATTGTGACCACAGGGAATCATTGTTCTAGTTATTTTCTATCATGGATATTTTAAAGTTTATTGTTTATCATGAATGTTTTAAATTTATTGAGGATGTCTTATTGTTTTACATTGTTACGTGTACTGCCATTTTAAAGGCTTTATGATCCTATGATTGGAATAAAAATGGAAGCATACCAATATGACAATTAAAATAAAAATAAAAAAACAAGGTTTAAGAGTCTTTGTAGATCATAATACTATCCCAACTCAGTTTAAGTCACGTACATGGAAAGTACTATAAGAGCATATGATGGATATATGGTGATTTTTTCATCTGCCCTAGCAAATAAATTAATAATAAAAAATAAAAAATAAAATCAGGCTTGTTCTCAAATATTCTTTAGTATTCCTATTCTTATATCAGTGGATAGATAAAGATATAGTAATATTTGATCATGCTCTAATAGCATCAACAATTAACAAAACAATCACACTTTTCTTTCAACATGGTATCAAAATAGATCTTACTAAAGAAGCTGTTTTTAATAAAACAGATTTCTCTCTCTCACTGAACTTACCATTTACAATACTTTGAAGATGTGCATTTGTAGTTATAATATTGCATGCAGCAATCATATATAAATAAGACAAAATATTGAAGGACATACATATCCGCATGATTTAGGCTTGACCCATTATTATCGCATTTTGGTTTAACACTTGTAACTTTCTTACAATGGTTTTGGAAAGAGAAATATAGATTGAAGATATTTAGAATTATATGCAAAAAGCTGAATTCATCATCATATTAAAAATATGGATTTATTATCCTTACATACATAATATAAAGACTGGTAGATTTTATATTCTTATATAATTGAGGATTAAGTATTAAAGTTTCAAGTATATTATTATTTTCTTTTTTCCTTTGTTTTAAATATTATTTTCTTCTGTGCTCTCTCTTTCTCCCACTCAACCCCTCCCCTAAAGTGTTAAAAAGAAAAACAAATTTAGCAATGTAAAGTTGGGAATCATGGGATCTACCATCAAATATTAGCCACAGAAGTTTGACTCTACATACTTGACTTCAGTTTGATGAGTTGCTAATTCTTTGGAAGATAGACTCAAGATTCAGGATCTTGACAGACTTGAGCCATGGATCCTATCCACAAGATGCAGTTCAGTGGTGAGAAAAGCAAGGTCTTACCCTTGGGCAAGAAAAAACCAATGCACAGATATGGAATAGTCGGTAGCTGGCTCAACAATAATAACTGTGAAAGAGATCTTGTGTCCTAATGGACCACCACTTAAGTATGAGCCAATATTATATTGCAGCTGCCAAAAATGTCAATGCAGTCCTAGGCTGCATCAACAAAGGGATAGCATCTACATTGTGAGAACTGATCATATCAAACAGAATAACGGAAGGGATCTTGGAGGTCATCTACTTCAACCCGCTGCTCAAAAAGGAGCCCCTATACCATTCTAGAGAGGTGGCTGTTCAATCTCTTCTTAAAAGCCTCAACTAATGGGGCACCCACAATTTCTGAAGGCAAGCCATTCCTCTGATTAATTGTTCTCACTGTTAGGCAATTTCTAGGTCGCTTCTCTCCTTGATTAGTTTCCATCCATTGTTTCTTGTCCTGCACTTTGGTGTTTTGGAAAATAAGTTGACTCCCTCTTCTTTGCAGCAGCCCTTCAAATATTGGAACATTGCTATTGTGTCACCCCTAGTCCCTCTTTTCATTAGACTGGACATACCCAATTCCTGCAATCATTCTTCATATGCCTCCAGCCCTCCTTTAGCCTCCAGCCCTCTAATCATCTTTGCTGCTCTTTTCTGCACTCTTTCCAGAGTCTCTACATCTTTTTTATAATATGGTGACCAAAACTGGATACAATATTTTAAGTGTGGTCTTACTGTGGCTTTATAAAGCAGTACTAGTACTTCACGTGTTATTGATTCTATCCCACTGCTAATTGGCTTTTTTAGCTGCTGCTACTGCTGCACACAGCTGGCTCATATTTAAGTGGTTGTCCACTAGGACTTCAAGATTGCTTTCATAGTTGCTACTCTTGTGCCAGGTTTCACCTAATCCTTTCTGTACATTTGCTCTTACTTGCCTTAATTTTCTCTACATGAATTTCATTTTGTTAGATAGGGCCCATGGTTCAAGTCTGTTGAGATCCATCTGGATCTTGAGCCTATCTTCTGGATGTTGGCTATTTCTGCCAGTTTAGTGTTTTGTGTGTGTGTGTGTGTGTGTGTGTGTGTGTGTGTGTGTGTGTGTTTGTATACACACACATAAGTATATACGTATATATGTATGATGAACAGTTGAGAAATCTTGGTACATCTACTCCATTAAAGAGAAGGATTAGTGGTGACATAATAGCTGTGAGAGCCAATAGTACTTGAGAGGCTGTTACACAGAAGAGGGGATCTACTTGTTAATGCTTGTTAAAGAGAGGTCCAACCTAGAACTAAGGAGAAAGGTGCTTTTTTCACGAGGTAACTGGACTTTCTTGTTTTTCTTAGAAGATATTTCGCTTCTCATCCAAGAAGCTTCTTCAGCAATGACATTTGACAGTAAGAACAATTAATCAAGTAAATAGTTTGTCTCCTGGAGCTATTGCTGTTCCATACTGTATCTCTTCAAGAACAGACTGAACATCTATTTGTCCAGGATGGTATATAGTCTCCGGACTTGAGCAGGGGGCTGGACTAGAAAACCTCCAAGGTCCCTTGCATTCCTATGATTCTGTGAATTTTTGATCAGTATTCTTTCAATACATATTTCAAGTTACCAAGGAATCAGGTTCACATTTCACATTTCACAAGTTTACTAATCAGAAAGTTACAATGTACTTTGTCAAATGCCTTGGTAAAATGTACCATTCCTACAGTTCCAGTAAAATGATGAAACACCCAGCTGACCTTGGCTGATCAGAAGAATATAAAAGGATGGCTGGAATCTGAGTACATATATGGGGGACCACTAAAAAAACCCCAGGCTTATAAAATAGACTGCGAAGATGAAAATACCTTACAGAAGTAAAAGACAGGCAAAGGACATCTGTGCTGAGAAAAATGTCTGATTAAACGAACAGAGCCCCCATTTGATATGTTCTTCAAAAATCCAAGCAGATTTTTAGCCTTTACTGCTTAATTGCTCCATGAGCCTCTCAGAATACAACAGGTATCCTTGAGCTCCATCTTTTTCAGCTATGTAGGCTTGCAGGCTCAGATTTCCCTGTCAGCTGCCCTTTGCTGAGAATTCGGGAAGCTCAGGACCACACATCTACAACTTGACAAAGTTGGGAAACACTGCTGAACTGTCAAAACCTTATTTTGTTGAAGGTTGCAAGGATTTTCCTCTTTCAATCCCCACATACTTCATCTATTTTCTCAGATTATTCATTCAGCTATATAAGATAAAGACCTGGTTTTAATATGACATAATCTAGGGGTCTTCAAACTTGGCCCTTTTGTGACTTGTGGACTTCAACTCCCAGAATTCTACAAGTCATAAAAGGGCCAAGTTTGAAGACCCCTGACATAATCCTTCCCCACTTCAAAAACATATGCTAAGTTGACGCCACTCTCAAAGATTTGAAGAGAGTTATAGAATATAAGGATTAGGAGGGACCTTGGCTTGGGAACATCACTTGATTCCTTCCAATCTCAAAATGCTGACACTGCAAACATCGCAATGAAAACAGGATAAAAGAATCCACCTAATGGTAGTTAAACTGAGATGGCCATTCCAGTTTGGATTAAAGATCAGTAGTACAAGGAGATCTTTGGTCATTATAGTAATGATGTACTATCCAATTATCAGTTATAATTTCTGTATTATAAATGTATTATTTCTATCCAATATTAACTCCTTTACAATATTATACTTTATTTCTAAATTTCCAACAATATATTAACATATAAACTCTCCCAAACAAACTTACAAGTAAAGTTCTGTGTCATCTAGCAGATTAATAAAGTTTTAACATTTGCAATTTATGCTAGCCATAAATATTGTCACACAAAGTTGAGAATTGATTCATCAAATAACAAAATTATCAACAATAGAAAAAACATTCATTAATGTTTCCTTTCAGATAAATGACAAACTTTCTTTGCACCTTTCTATAGTTACTCAAATTGGAAAAATATTTTTATAAAAAAAGTATTTTGTAAATCAATTTATTTGCCATCAGTGCCAAAACCTAACAATTCAAAAACAACATTGTCCCAAGACTAATCCTAAATGATAAGCATTAAAATAGGAGGCTGAGCAGATGAGAAGGACTCCAAGAGCTGGACTCACCTTTTTAGCAGAATCTGGGGGCACATCAACCCCATTGATTAGTTCCCCATTATCTGAAAAGACAGGAATGTTGGGACTGAAAATCATGAGGTCACTCTTGGCACCAGCCTCTGTGCTCACCCCTGCCAGGATGTGGCTGTGGCGATTGGAATAGGACCAGCTGCCCACTTCACTGGCACAGACCAGGGTGGCCATGCCAGGGCCATAAACCATGGATTCCTTTGCCTTGCAGTGGCATCGCAGGGCCACGTAGATGAGACTGGCCAGCAAGAAGAGGCTGGAAACAGAGCAGATGGCAATGATCAGATAGACGTTGATCGAGTCCACAAGGGGCACAAAGCTCTCCCCTGACCTTTGAAGATTAATATCAGTTTTGATTGTCTGACCACTTGTCACCAGAGACACACTCAGGGTAGCTGTGGCTGAGAGCTGAGGCTTTCCATGGTCCTTCACAAGAACCAGAACATTTTGGATTTTGCCTCCTTCTGATTCATCCAGAGGATATTTGGTACTCACCTCACCGCTATACTGCCCCACAGACCATGGACCACTGCTTTCTTCAACCAGTTCATACCTGAGCCACGCATTGTAGCCAGAATCTGCATCCAAGGCATGGATCTTGCCAACAATATGCCCAGGCATCACGGGGACCACCAGAAGAATCAGGTTCTCTTCTGATGATCCTGTCACGGCAGGTGCGTTGTCATTCTCGTCCAGCACAAATACCTGAACAGTCGCATTGCCACACAAGGAGGGCATTCCAGCATCCTTGGCTCTCACCTGGAACTCCAGCAGTTTCAACTCCTCATAGTCCAAGGACTGCAGAGCATAGAGCTTTCCACTCTCCGAATGTACAGAGATGTAGCTTGTCAATGGCCATAGCTTCTCATCTATCCAATAGGTGATCAGGGCATTCTCAGCTACATCTGGGTCCAAGGCAGATACTGTGAAGATGTGAGCACCAGGGGGATTGTTCTCTTTCACAAAGACTGTGTAAGAGGGCTGTGGAAAAGTTGGAGCATTATCATTTATGTCACTGATAGGCACTAAGAGGCTGATGCTAGAAGACAGGGCTGGAACACCCTGATCTTCCACTGTCACAACCATCCTGTACTCAGCCACCTGCTCTCGATCTAAGACTGCACCAACAGTCAGGGAGTAGTAGTTCTTGAATGTGGATTCGAGTCTGAAGGGTACTCCAGTGGGCAAGAGGAAACAGTTGATTTGTCCATTGGTGCCAGAATCCCTGTCAGAAGCACTGAGGATGGCTACCACAGTCCCTGGAGGGGAGTCCTCTGGCAGTGACACAGAGAGAGAATTCACAGATAATTCTGGAATATTGTCGTTTATGTCCAATACTTCTATGAGAACCTTACAGTGTCCAAATAATGGAGAATTGCCTTTATCTTCTGCTACAATTGGAAGTTCATAGAACTTACTTTCTTCGTAATCCAATTTTCCAATTATTCTGATTTCCCCAATATCAGAATTTATACTAAATAGCTTTGAGACATGTGTAGGTACTTTGTTACTAAAAAAATACAATATTTCCCTATTAATCCCCTCATCTAAATCTGTTGCATTCAGAGTAATAACTAATGACCCACTAGAAGTGTTTTCTAGCAATTTTACCCTATAAACAGATTGATTAAATACAGGAGGGTTGTCATTAACATCCAGCACATTGATGACCAGCTGAACAGTTCCTGTGAGTTTTGGTTCACCCCCATCAGTGGCTGTCAGTACTAAATGATGCACAGGGCTCTCCTCCCTGTCAAGTGGAACCTTTAACACAAGTACTACAGATGTACTCCCATCTTCATCATTTCCTGTATCAAGAGCAAAATATTTGTTTGGGCTGAGCCTGTGGGTTAACAGAGCATTAGTACCAATATCTGCATCAGAGGCTCCCTCTAAAGGGAATCGGGTACCAGATGCTGTTGTGAGTTCAGCCATGCTCAGGATCTGTTCCCTGGCAGAGAAGACGGGAGCATTGTCATTCATGTCTTTGACTTCAACCTCCACATGGAAGAACCTCAGAGGTTTCTCCACAATCACCTCCAGATGAAGGACACAGTCTGCAGTCTTGGCACACAGCTCCTCCCTGTCTATCCGGGAATTTACAAACAAGATCCCATTCTGCAGGTTTACCTCAAAATAGTCCTCCTCTCCTTTGGACAGCATCCGGAACATCCGAGGCACCAGCTCGCTCACCTCCAACCCCAGATCCTGGGCGATGCGGCCCACAAAGGTGCCGTGCTGGGATTCCTCCAGCACAGAATAATGGAGCTGGCCGCTCCCCATTTTCCAGGCGGTCTGGAGCAGAAGCAGCTGCAGCAGCCCCGTCGGCCAGGTAAGCATCGCAGACACAGGCACAGCACCGCAAGCTCTTCTCTTTTTCTCTAATACCTTGCCTTCAAGGGGTCAGGAGCGGAGCCCACGTAGCCCAGCCATACTGGCAAGTTTTCATAGGTTGGATTTTGGCTTGTTGAGATTTCTCTGTTGTTCGATATTTCCCTTGTGGATCTGGCCGGCAGGAATGTCGGTCCCTTTAAGGGAGGGGCTCCGCATTTTCAGTTTCACTTAGAGGCTTTCCTTAGGAAACAGCGACCTCTTGTGGCCTCATTTCAAAATGGAGAAACAGACCTCCATTCTTTATTCAGTGTCTGTGATAGGAATGCTTGCTATTCCTTTATGTATCTCTGATGTGTAGTTTTACTTCTTTTGTTCTTTAACTATTATATTGGTTTAGATCTTATAGTCAGCCCTTGGTAGTTCTGTGAAAATGCACTATAATGGAATTAATATTTGTCTGGTTCTCTGGCCATCTTTCCCATTGTTCCCAATAGATGAGCACCAGACAGATGGGGAGAAGTTGAATTAGTTGCAAACCATTTGAATCAGTACTTTTGACCAAGATAAAACAGTGTGACATTATTTCCAAAGAACTGCATAAGGTTATTCAAATGCTATGAAAGCAGAAGTACTTTTCCAGTTTTATTTCTGAGATCTTGGCTGGATATTGCAGCTCTTGAACCTATTAGACAAATGACAAGCAAGTTCTCAAAACTCACGTGATGTCTTAACTGGCTTATTCCTGAAATAGATTACATGTTGCAATTAATCTAATCTATGTATTTCATATGGCCCCTGTTTATCTTATATAAATAATCTTGTACTAAATCTTTTGAGAAGGAAAAGATAGTGAAATTCAAACTTTACTCTTTTTTATTTCAAATGATTTAATGTTGCTAAATAACCTCACATCAGAATTTTTCTTTTTCCTTTATGCACACACACGTACAGACACACTAAACATCTAACCATCATGAAGGAATTTGTACCTTTACTTTTCATAGCTCAAAAGAAAACAGTAGCAAATCTATTAACCTCATTACGGGGGGGGGGGGGAATTCATGAAGTCAAGTCACCACTAGTCAACCTTGAATCAAGAGGGTTTTTTTTTAATACAAACCTTTACTGTAGTTTTTTTTTCCCTCAGATAGATAGAGTAGCCCAGGTACAGAAACCCTCTGATAGTGAATGTTTGTCTGTGCATGTAACAGATAGTAATTGTCCACTGTTTTTATTTCTTCTTCCTTGGGACCCACGAAAACAAGTCAAAGGTTTCTTCTGTATGATATTCTTTCAGCTTCTTTAGGGATGTTATTAAATGCGCCCTCAATCATGTCTTTTTATTTCAAGGTTAAACACATTTTTCAATTTCTCTTTTCTTTCCACTCCCATAATTCCTATTAGCACTTTTCTGAATTTATCAGAAACTGTAACTATTTTGCCCAACCTTGGATATAGTACTTGAGAGGGTTTTAAATGTAGTGCAATTATTCCTTCCTATAATTTAGAAAATATAATTCTTTTGATCAGTGCTTTTTTTCTTAAAAACAAAAAAAGGTGCCGGAACTCACACATGTCACACAACCCGCTTTGCCTACCTTACAAGGTTCCATCCAAAAAAAAAATGTTCTCATAGAACGTTCTGGGCGTTCTATGAGAAAAAAAAAGCCCTGCTTTTGATGCAGAAGAGACTTTCATTTCCCTTTTTGGGTAGAAAACTACCTGGCACTGAAACAACCTTATGATACTCTACCAGATGTGAAAAATAATTCAGCCACGCTAAAAATGTGTTCCCTGGAAGCATTGTCATTAACATCTTTGATTTCAACCTCCACAATGGAAGAACCTCAGAGGTTTCTCCACAATCACCTCCAGATGAAGGACACAGTCTGCAGTCTTGGCACACAGCTCCTCCCTGTCTATCCGGGAATTTACAAACAAGATCCCATTCTGCAGGTTTACCTCAAAACTGGAAAAGTGCTCATGTGATACCAACCTACAAAAAGGAAGAAAAAATTGTTCCAGAAAATTATAGGCTAATCAGCTTGACACCAATACCTGGGAAAATCCTGGAAAAGATAATCAGGCAGAGGATTTGTGAGCACCTAGAAATGAACAAAGTGACTACTGGAAGCCAGCATAGGTTTGTTAAAAGCAGATCATGCCAGACAAACCTTATTGCATTCTTTGATCAAGTGATTAAATTACTGGACCATCAATATGCTGTGGATTGAGTATACCTGGACGTGAGAGAGATCTAAGTGTCCTAATAGACCACCACTAAATTATGAGCAGGCTGCCAAAAATCCAATACAGTCCTAGGCTGAATTAACAGAGGGATAACATCAAGATCACGAGAAGTGCAAAAGCCACTTTATAAAGCACTACTGAAACCAGACTTGAAATACTGCAAACAGTTCTAGTTACCATGATACAAAAAAGATGCTGAGACCCCAGAAACTGTGCAGAGAAGAACAACAAAGCAAGGAAGATGATAAAGGGTCTGGAGGCTAAATCCTACAATGAACATTTGAGGGAGATAGGTATGACTAGCCCACTGAAGCAGATTGTGGAGACATGATAACTGTCTTCCATTACTTGAGGGGCTGTCAGAGAGAAGAGGGGATTGACTTATTCTCCAAAGCACCAGAGGGCAGGATAAGAAGTAATGCGTGAAAGCTTGTTAAAGAGAGATCCAACCTAAAAGGAGAAATTTTCTTCAAATAGCTTGCCTCCCGGAGTTGCGGGTGCTCCATCACTGGAGGTTTTCAAAAATAGACTGGACAACCATTTGACCAGTATGGTATAAAGTCTCCTGCCTTGAATAGGGGGTTGGCCTAGAAGGCCTCTGAAGCCCCTTCCAGCCCTACGATTCTATGTTTGATATTCTATGTTCAAATCTGCCCAATGATACCAGCTGGACAGAAGCCAGAGAAGGCAACCAAGCCCTATGCCATGAAGATACTTACAGGTAATAACCAGCACCTTGAATTGCAGTAGTCCTTATACAAGGCAACCAAGGATGAATGATTGTCTCAAGAACTTCCCAATCCAGGCAATTGGTATACAAATTGGATTTCTCCTAAGGTGTGCATCTGCCACCAGATTCTTAAGCAGGAACCGTGAGTCCTAGAAATCCCCAAATTGTGCATCAGTCCAATGGGGAAAGGACTATTGTTGTTGTTTTTAATTGCGAAGTCGTGTCCGACCCGTCGCGACCCCATGGACAATGTTCCTCCAGGTCTTCCTGTCCTCTACCATCTTCTGGAGTCCATTTAAATCCACACCTACTGCTTCAGTGACTCCATCCAGCCATCTCATTCTCTGTCGTCCCCTTCTTCTATTGCCCTCAATCTTTCCCAGCATTAGGCTCTTCTCCAGTGAATCCTTCCTTCTCATTAGGTGGCCAAAGTACTTGAGTTTCAACTTCAGGATCTGGCCTTCTAAAGAGCAGTCGGGGTTGATCTCTTCTAGGACTGACCGGTTTGAACGCCTTGCAGTCCAAGGGACTTTACTATCACAATAGGGGCTGGAATCTTTGTTGTTGAGTACTATCACAATAGGGGCTGGAATCTTTGTTGTTGAGTGAAGCAATTATTAAGCAAAACATCACGACCCCATTTTATTCAACAACGGTAATCGTGGCACTTGCAGTTGCAGTCAAGTAAGAGATCTTGTGGGTCATTAAATTGAAAAAGGTCCAGGTAAAGAAAGCCTGGCACAGGCTATGCACAAGTGTCTCACAAGTTCCACAGCTGAAAATTCCTGCTGAAACTCAAGCAGAATTTTCAGCCCAAAAGCAGGGAAACACTCACAGGCAGCCTGTGCCGGACCTTTGCCACATCCCCCAGGGCCTCCCTGGGAGGCACTTTGCATTCATTATATTACTACCACTTTCTCCACTCTGGGGCTGAAAATCCTCCATGGCTGAAAATCCTACTTGGTTTTTGGGTTGGATCTTTTTTAGCCAGTTTCCAGAAACAAGGTGGAATCCTCTTGCCTTTGTAGCATGGCTGCAAGTGCCCCACACTGTAAGCACTCCATATCAAAATCCTGTTTGGCTTTTGGGATGGACCTTTCTCAGCCAGTCCCAGAAAAGAGAGCACATGGTGGCAGTTTGCAATCATCTCTGCTAGCTTTCCCACTGAACTTCTGGGGAAACCAGTAGGAAAAATTGCAAAGGGCGAATGGGTTACCAAGCAGCCAGATCACAGTCACGTGACTATAGGAGTGCTACAATAACTATAACTTTGGGCATGGGTCATTAGTCCCTTCAGCACCATCATAATTTTGAATGATTGTTAAATGAGGACTTGTAAAATGAAAAGTCCCTAGTGTCAGGGTGTCCCAGAACTCTTAGCCACTTAGTTTTTATCAGGGTTGAGTCTAAACCTTTTTCTTTCCATCCAGTCTCCCACAGCCTTCAGGCCATACTGCCTGATCAGTCTGGGGTCAAGGTAAATAATTGGCTTTTAACCACATATTGATGGTATCTGACCACTATTCATCATAGGACCTCACCCAGTGCCTTCATGTAGAGGTTAAACCAAAGGGAATAGAATATTCAGTAGAGTTCTGAAGTACCCCATCCACCAAGGGCTTCAGATTCAATTTCGCCTCTCCCAACACCACCAACTGAGCCCAACCATAGGAAAAGGAGGAAAATTCTTGCAATACTGTACCTCCCGGCACCTATCTCTTCAGGCAGGCCCGAAAGATGCTATGGTTGATGCTAGCAAAATGTAGTGAGAGATCAAAAAGAACCAATGTGATTCCAGTAACTACCTTTGAAATATCAGAAGCTATTAAAAAATGAAAATAGGTAAAGCTCCAGCTCCAGACAGCCTCACAAGCCAATATAACAAATATTTTGAGAAGTAACTCCTAAGCCATTAAAGGATGTAATGAATTCTGTACTATAGGATATAGAGATACCTCAAACTTGAAAAGAAGCTAATATTGTGTTATTACCTAAGGAGGGTCAAGATGTTCTGAGGATAAAAAATTATATACTGATTTTATTATTAAACAATTACTATATAATTTTTTTTACTGCAATACTAGCAGAAGGGTTGAAGAAATTTCTACAGCCTTACAGTCATGAAGGCTAATCTGGCTTTTTGCCAGAAAGACAATTGAGAGACAATGAGTGAGTGAGTACTGTTTTGAATGTTGTTGAATATTTACAATTTCATAATGAGAAGCAAGCAGCTCTAATATTTCTGGATGCAGAGAAAGCTTTTGATAACTTAAATTGGGATTTTATATTTAAGGTTTTGGAAGACATGGATTTTGGAGAGAAATTTATCCAAGGGGATAAGACAATATACCCATCATAGCAAGCAAACATTATCATTAATGGAAATTAACTAAAACATGTGAAATTCAAAAGAATACGAGACAAGGATGTCCTCTATCTCCCCTGTTATTTATGTAAGTGTTGGAAGTTTTGAACAGCGGTATCTGAAAGGATGAGAACATTACGGGAATTAAAATCAGAAAACAAGTTATAAATTGAGCATTTTCACTGATGACTTAGTTATATATTCTTGCAAGACCCCAAAACACTTGACAAAGAAGCTAAATGACTTTGGAGCTTTAACAGGCTTCAAAACAAATAAACAGAAAACAAAAGTGCATGTTAAGAATATGGCTTCTCAAGAACATGAAATATTGACAAGAGAGTCAGGTTTTAAGATGGAGAAAAGGATTAAATACCTTGGAGTTACATGGACAAATACAAACTCCAAATTATTTCAAAACAATTTTGTACTTGTATGGGATTGCATTAAAAAGACCTTATTAAGATTTGATACTTTTTATTGATGTTTTATCAAAGATGTTATTTTTATTTCAGACTTTACCAATATTGTCAACTGATACCCCATTTAAAAAATGGCAAAAAGATATTGTAAATTCATATGACAAGGGGAAAAAAACAATAATTACATACAACGTACAAGTTGCCAAAGGAAGAGGAGCTTTAAGTTGAAAATGTACTATGATATTTGGTCTTTATGAAAATGGGCAACTCTCTAAAACAAGAGATTACTTGAATTAGAGGGTCATGAATTAAGATTTGGATGGCATGCCTACTTGTGGTATGACAAGGTTAAGATGAATCTTGACTTTAAGAATTGTTTTGTTATAACATCCTAAGGGTTTGTAATAAATATAAAACAAGACCCTCTATAAAGGTAAGCCTTTAGGTATCACTCCAGAAAAGAAACATTGGCGAACTCAATTGGTGTACTTATGGTCAAATAATATCTTTCATTCAAGAGGAGACTATTTTTAAATCAAAAGAAGAGTTAGAGTCAGAAGAACGTGTCTGTCATTGGTTTGCATTTATATAATTAAAACAAAGGTTTAAACTAAACAAAAAAAGTTATGGGTCTGACCTTGTGAAACTGAATTTGAAATCATATTGTGTAGTAATGATGAACATATTGCCAAGGTTTATAAACTGTCACTGAAGTTGAATTTGGATAATGAATATGTGAAACAATGTATGATTCAGTAGGCAAAGAATTTGGGATATAATACTTGGAACAACAGAAACACAGATGGACAAAGGTTTGAAATTTACACTAAACTATAACTTTAAAGATTTTTTTTTATAAAATGATTTACCGTTGATATTTAACACCCAATAAATTGTCAAAGATGTATAAAGATATTTCATATGTGTGTTGGAAATGTAAATATAAAGAAGGAACTTTCTATCATTTTTGGTAGACTTGTGACAAAGCAAAAAAATACTGGGGTAAGATTCATATTTTAATAGAGAAGATTTTTAAAATGAATATACAAATTAAACCAGAGACTTTTCTTCTAGGTTGATGGACAAATACTGTTTCTTTTGTCCCCTTCATCCTACACTTCTCTCTTTCTCCTTTTCCCACTATTTTCATTTGTACTTTATACTCCAATAGGTTTAATAAAATTATATTATTTGAAAATGAAGAACCAGCTTGATTGCACAACCACCATCCCAGTTCTACCAAAGGTCATACACCAGCATAACCAAGCTATGTCCAGGCCAGAAACCTGACTGAAAGAAGTCCAAATAACCAGTTATCTCCAGGACCCTCTATAATTGTAGCATTACCACCTTCTCCTCCTCCTTTTGGAAACTAGACAAAATGGTCAAGTACAAATGGATCCAGTGAAGCTTCCTCAAAACAGCGGAAAACACACTGCTATGACTCCTTTCACTTGAGTTTTTTGAATCAGTTACTTTCTCCCCATTAGTGCAATTCAAAGTTGGAACCTCCTTTTGAGTTTGGAGATTTTTTTAAAGATATTCACTTTTTCCCCCACGTCTGTTTCCATTTACATGTTCTCACAGATCTTGTAATACTGCTTCTGGTCTCTTCTAGAAGTTCCTCGAAATTCCTTGTTAGGTTCAGTCCTGACCTCTTTGTCTTTCTTGGCTCTGGCGTCTTTTCTGGGAAATTTCTATTTTTGTTCTATGGAACTGTTTATTCTACAGTCCCTTTGATGTTCAGGGGATAGCAAAGCAACTCTGTTCTCCTTGGAAATGGTACAGCCAGCCCCTGGCCAAGTCTTTGTTCTTAGAGCTGAGCTCTTCTACCTCCTTGTACCAATGATATAGTCAAGTCAGTTTCTGCATACTCCATCTGGATATGTCCATGAATATAGGCGTGGGGTGGTGAAAGTTAGAATGCAGTAAAATAAAGGTAAAGGTTTTCCTAACCAGGCATGCCAACACTAGGATGCAGTGCTCCTCTCCGTTTCTTGGCCGAGGGAGCCAGCATTGTCTGAAAACATTTTTTGGTGTCATGTGGCCAGCACAGCTATATGCCAAAAGCACATGGAATGCGATTACCTTCCCACCAAAGTGATATCTATTTACTCGCATTTGCATGCTTTCAAACTGCTAGGTGGGCAGGACCTGGGGCAAGTAATGAGAAATCACCCTGTCACATAGTGCTTCGATCTTGAACAGGAGTTCATCCCATTGCACGTGCTTGGGTCTCAAACTCGGGCTGTCAGCTTTCCAGCTGACAATCTGAGTGTCTTTAACCGCTGAGCCATTGCACCCCCATGTAGTATTGCAGTTTAATTCGGCCCACTACCAAGAGTTTGACCTTGACTGGCTCAGCCTTCCATCATTCCGAGGTTAGTGAAATGAGGACCCAAACTGTTGGGGAGGGGGCAATATGCTGACATTTGTAAACTGCTCAAAGAGGGTTGTAAAGCACTATGCAGCAATATATAAGTCTAAATGCTATTGCTTAGTGCTATTGCTAGGGTGGGTTTTGTTGTTTTTGGAAGATGTTATTAGCAAGGAAGAAATCTTTGGATTGACAGAAATTGATATGTGGTTCTCTTATTTCATTTCCATTTTCTAGGCCACAGAGTCCAACTCTATTTTCTTCCTCAGTTTTTCTAACTTTGGCATCACAATATCCATAAGCAGCACATTCTGCTTGCAAGTTCTATTGAACATTCAAATTGAATGTGACTATAAAACTTATTAACTTCCTCTTTTTCTGCATCAGATTTGGGAGCATAAACATGGATAATTGTCACATTAGAGAAGCAATGGCGAACCTTTGATATCTATGTCAAGGATGACACACAACATTTTGGATGACATATCGGCAATCATCAACTTCTGACAACAACTATTCTTGAAAACTATTCTTCTCACATAATTTTTGCAGGCTGTGAAGGTTGAATGAGAATGGGGTGTGCTCTTCGATTACCTTTTGACCCTCCAGAAATCATGGGAGAGGTAGGTGCACAACCTGTGGAACATCCAAAAATTACATGCAAATGGGGCATGGTGTTGTTTTTGGAGGCTAAAGAGGCTTCAGAAGAGCATTGGGGCCTGTCAACTGGAAGAAAACACTGTGGCTCATGGCAGATGTTGGGGAGTGCTGGGTCATAGGGAAATCATACTGTTCCCCAAGTCTTGGACTTCTCTGGGACAATGTGAAGCAGCCTATTTGAGTGGCAGTGGTGGTGTTAGGGTTGAAGTCGAGGCCATATTTAGAATTAAATGGGAAAAAATGAATTCATCGTATTAACAAATATGGATTTATCTTATTTATTTACATAAGATAAAGTGAAGTCAATATTATATTAGTCAACATAATAATTAACTACTGATGTCCTCGTTTTCCTTTGTTTTAAATATTCATTTCAGAGGCTCTCTCTCTCTCATGCTCTCCTTCTCCTCCTCCCTTCCTTGGCTAAAGAGAAATAACTTTAGCCATGTAAAGTGGGAGTCTTGGGATCTACTGCCAAGTATTAGTTAGCCACGAAGTTTTGCCTCCTTCCAGTTTTGTGCATAGAGCAATCTTGCTGCCGTGACCATATATAAAATCAGAGTTCCAATTTTTTACCCTAGTTCTCCTTCCATTAGGCCCAGATGGAAAGTTTCTGGTTTAATCTTTATGTTCATTTTAAGAATTTTCTCCATTAATATATGAATCCTACTCCAATATTTCTTTGTGTTATCACATGTCCACCATAAATGATAAGAAGTCCCATCTTTACATTTACATTGCCAACATTCATTTGAAATACCTTTATACATTCTAGATAACTTATCTGGTGTTAAATACCAGTGATACATTATTTTGTAAAATTTTTATTTTAGGTTATAATTTAATGTGATTTAATTTTAAGCCATTTATCCATATATTCTCCCATTGTTCAAACGCCACATTATATTCAAAATTCTTTGCCCACTGGATCATACCATGTTTTACATGTTTATTTCCAAATTCAATTTTAATAACGTTTTATGGTCCAATATTATACTTTCTATTTCTAAATTTATCAACAATATGAAAAAACTTACAAATATAAATCTATGCACTTAGCAGATTAATAATGTTCAGCAAGTTTCCAAACCATGCAGCAGACATATTGTTACAAAAAGAGGCATCAAATTGAGAACAGATTCATCAAATAATAAAATCAACAAAAAAAATATTTCATTAATGTCTACCTGTATACAAGACAAAGATGAAAAATACCTTGGCATGGCAAAATGATAATATCAGGTGAAAAGCCTACTTGTGTTTACTATCATTATAAGACAGATTCATTTAATATCAAGTAAACTACAAACTTTCTTTCCATAGCTCCTCAAACTGGAAAAATATTTCTTCATAGAAAATATTAATGATTTGTAAATCAATTTATTTTCCATCAGTGTCAAAACCTAACAACCTTGTCCCAAGACTAATCCTAAATGATAAGCATAGAAATAGGAGACTGGGCGGATGAGAGCTGGACTCACCTTTTTAGTAGAATCTGGGGGCACATCAACCCCATTGATTAGTTCCCCATTATCTGAAAAGACAGGAATGTTGGGACTGAAAATCATAAGGTCACTCTTGGCACCAGCCTCTGTGCTCACCCCTGCCAGGATGTGGCTGTGGCGATTGGAATAGGACCAGCTGCCCACTTCACTGGCACAGACCAGGGTGGCCATGCCAGGGCCATAAACCATGGATTCCTTTGCCTTGCAGTGGCATCGCAGGGCCACGTAGATGAGAATGGCCAAGAAGAAGAGGCTGGAAACAGAGCAGATGGCAATGATCAGATAGATGTTGATTGAGTCGACCAGAGGCAGGAAGGTCTCCACTGGTCTTTGAAGATTAATATCCGTTTTGATTGTCTGACCACTCGTCACCAGTGACACACTCAGGGTGGCTGTGGCTGACAGCTGAGGCTTCCCATGGTCCTTTACCAGAACCAGAACACTCTGGATTTTGCTGCCTTCTGACTCCTCCAGAGAATATTTGGTACTCACCTCACCGCTATACTGGCCCACAGACCATGGACCACTGCTTTCTTCAACCAGTTCGTACCTGAGCCACGCATTGTATCCAGAATCTGCATCCAAGGCATGGATCTTGCCTACAATATGCCCAGGCATCACGGGGACCACTAGAAGAATCAGGTTCTCTTCTGATGATTCTGACACAACAGGTACATTGTCGTTCTCATCCAGCACAAAGACCTGAACAGTCGCATTGCCACACAAGGAGGGCATTCCAGCATCCTTGGCTCTCACTTGGAACTCCACCAGTTTCAACTCCTCATAGTCCAAGGACTGCAGAGCATAGAGCTTTCCACTCTCCGAATGTACAGAGATGTAGCTTGACAATGGCCACAGCTTCTCTTCTATCCAATAGGTGGTCAGGGCATTCTCAGCAACATCTGGGTCTGAGGCAGATACTGTGAAGATGTGAGAACCAGGGGGATTGTTCTCCTTCACAAAGACTGTGTAGGAGGGCTGTGTGAAGGCTGGAGCATTATCATTTATGTCACTGATAGGCACTAAGAGGCTGATGCTAGAAGACAGGGGTGGAACGCCTTGATCTTCCACTGTCACAACCATCCTGTACTCAGCCACCTGCTCTCGATCTAGGACTGCACCAACAGTCAGGGAGTAGTAGTTCTTGAATGTGGACTCGAGTGTGAAGGGTACTCCAGGGGGCAAGAGGAAACAGTTGATTTGTCCATTGGTGCCAGAATCCCTGTCAGAAGCACTGAGGATGGCTACCACAATCCCTGGAGGGGAGTCCTCTGGCAGTGGCACAGAGAGAGAATTCACAGATATTTCTGGAATATTGTCATTCATGTCCAACACTTCAATGAGAACTTTACAGTGCCCTGATAATGGAGAATTGCCTTTATCTTCTGCAACAATTGGAAGTTCATAGAACTTACTTTCTTCATAATCCAATTTTCCAATTACTCTGATTTCCCCAGTATCAGAATTTATACTGAACAATTTTGTGACATGTAGAGGGACACTATCATGAAAAGAATAAAAGATTTCCCTGTTAATCCCCTCATCTAAATCTGTTGCATCCAGAGTAACAACTAATGACCCACTAGCTGAATTTTCTAGCAACTTTATCCTATAAACAGATTGGTTAAATACAGGAGGGTTGTCATTAACATCCAGCACATTGATGACTAGCTGGACAGTTCCTGTGAGTTTTGGTTCACCCCCATCAGTGGCTGTCAGTATTAAATGATGCACAGGGCTCTCCTCCCTGTCAAGTGGAACCTTTAATACAAGTAGTACAGATTTACTCTCATCTTTATCATTTCCTGAATCAAGAGCAAAATGGTTGTTTGGGCTGAGCTTGTAATTTAACAGAGCATTAGTGCCAATATCTGCATCAGAGGCTCCTTCTAAGAGGAATCGGGTACCAGATGCTGTTGTAAATTCAGCCATGCTCAGGATCTGTTCCCTGGCAGAGAAAACGGGAGCATTGTCATTCATATCATTGACTTCCACCTCCACATGGAAGAACCTCAAAGGTTTCTCCACAATCACCTCCAGATGAAGGACACAGTCTGCAGTCTTGGCACACAGCTCCTCCCTGTCTATCCGGGAATTTACAAACAAGATCCCATTCTGCAGGTTTACCTCAAAATAGTCCTTCTCTCCTTTGGACAGCATCCGGAACATCCGAGGCACCAGCTCGCTCACCTCCAACCCCAGATCCTGGGCGATGCGGCCCACAAAGGTGCCGTGCTGGGATTCCTCCAGCACAGAATAATGGAGCTGGCCGCTCCCCATTTTCCAGGCGGTCTGGAGCAGAAGCAGCTGCAGCAGCCCCGTCGGCCAGGTAAGCATCGCAGACACAGGCACAGCACCCGCAAGCCCCTCTCTTTTTTCTTTAAATATCTTGCCTTCAAGGGGTCAGGAGTGCAGCCCACGTAGCCCAGCCATACTGGCAATGCTTTCATAGGTTGGATCTTGGCTTGTTGAGATTTCTGTTGTTCGATATTTCCCTTGTGGATCTGGCCGGCAGGAATGTCGGTCCCTTTAAGGGAGGGGCTCTGCGTTTTCAGTTTCACTTAAGAGGCTTTCCTTAGGAAACAGCGACCTCTTGTGACCACGTTTCAAAATGGAGAAACAGACCTCCATTCTATATTCAGCGTCTGTGATAGGAGGGCTTAGGAAACAGCGACTTCGTGTGTCTCAATTTCAAACAGATTTCAGCCTGTATTCACGAAAGATTTCTAAGAATATCCAGTCTTTATGCACGGTTACATGCAGTGCAAGTACATTCCTCACCACATAAATGAAAAGCTAACCCAAATATAAGAGATTAATCCCCTGCAGTCATTAACAAAATGTAATTAAATATTATATTAAGTCACCCCATATATTTGTTTAGTACTTTTATTTGTATGGATAGGAATGAGACATGTAACTATCTGTAACTTTTGTGATCTCATCCATTGTTCCCAGATGTACCATGGTGCTATTGAGGGAGCATTGAATTGGCTTCAACCATATGAACTAGTTATGAGCAAAATGAAGAATAATAAAACATCAGTATCAACAAGGTACATAAAAGATAAGAGATAAATATGAAATACTGTCCATGTTACTTTCTGTTTCTTGCCCAGGGTATGGAGTTCTTAAATAATTCAGATAAATGAAAAGCCAAGCAGTATATGAATTTCCAAAACATTTAATTTGATGTCTATTTAAGTCTTTCATTTATAATATTTTTTAAATTATGAGGAATTGAATAATCATAGAAATCTATTCCCTTTTTGCTTGCCATAACGATACTGACATAATAATTTCAACAACAATGCACATAAAGCAATTTAATTGGCAAGACTTAGAAAACTATCAGTTCTCAACCTTGCATCAGGTTGTATTTTTGTATTTGTATTTTTTCCCCTCTTCATGTATACTAAATAAATTTTAAAAAATGGACACTGGTTTAACCATGTAAAATTAGGAGCCCTCTGATTTCCTGCCAAGTAGTGGTCACAGGAGCTTAACCTTTCATAGTTGCCTCCAGTCTGATGAGGACCTGTTGATCAACTTGTTTTAAGTAAAAGTTTCAAGCCAGCTATAGAGTTAATAAATATGCAGGCCATCAAGCTCACACTTAAGTCAATTAGCCAGCTCAGTGTTAGCCTCCAAATCAACAATGTGGCTAACTCTAATTATGACATTTATCATTTTACCTTCTGCACAGTTACTATGTTGGAAATAGCAGACTGGCACACTAAATAGACTGGCACACTAAATGGACTCCAGAAGATGGTAGAGGACAGGAAGACATGGAGGAACGTTGTCCATGGGGTCGCGATGGGTCGGACACGACTTCGCAATTAACAACAACAACAACACACTAAATAGATTGAGCCCAATTTTATCTTTTTCCTGAACCAGTTTGATTTAGAACTGTTGGAATTGGATAACCTCTGTGCATTTTTTTTCTCACTGCAACATGCAATCAGAAAAGTCGACAAGCTGTTGGAAGGGTCAGAGTTCTTATTTCCTCCAATTTCTGTACCTGATCTCTTTCCATTCCTGTGACTCCTTAGCACTGATCATTGACTTAAAAATTGGGCCCCTAGATGTTGTCCTAATCTTCCCGTTTCACAAAAAGATTTCTAACAGCCATTTTAACTGGGATCATAGAAAACATAGAATCATAGAGCTGAAAGGGACCTGGGAGGTCTTCTAGTCCAGGGGTCCCCAACCCCCAGTCTGTGGACAAGCACCAGGATGCGACATGCCAGAAACCAGGCCACACAAACAAGCAAAGCCCCATTTGCAGGATGCAGGCAACAAATGAAACCACGCCCTCTCTGGTCCGTGGAAAAACCCCTATCCGGAACTGGTCCCTATGCCCAAAAGATTGGGGGGGGGGCACTGCTCTAGTCCAATCCCCTGCTCAAGGCAGGAGACCTTACTGCATCCCAGACAAATAACTGTCCAATTTTTCTTGAAGATCTCAGCGATGGATTATCCCAATTCTTGAATATAAGCTGTTCCATTCATTAATTATACTCACTGTTAGGAAATTTCTCCTTAATGAGCTTCCACCCATTGCTTCTTGTCCTGCCCTCAGGTGCTTTGGAGAATTCGTCAATCTTCTCTTTTCTGTGATTGCCCCTCAAGCACACCAACTATCCAAACTGATAGTCCAGTGCACAAACTCAGAAATAGCATCAGGCAATTCCCACTTTAGAATGGTATTCAGTGATTGTTTGAACATGCCACTTTTTCATATTAGACAACTCAATTTATTCTGCAATGCTTCAAAAACTGAAGCATTAGCCATTAAGGCTGGAGTTTATTCCACCTGGATGTGATATTTGGGCTCTAAATACTAAAAGGCTTGACTCCAGGGGATATATAGAGAGAAGTTACTTCGAACCAGCAGAGAGGCAACTGATTATATATTAATACGATAAAGACGTTGCCCATTATGGAGATTTTATTATAGATTCCCATATAGACAGCGACCTTCTTTCATCATTCAATCTTATCCTGAAGGAGGATAGTCAACCTCATCAAAACATGGCTGAACCTTTATTTGAGAGGCAGCCTGTGACTTGTACATCTGGCTAAGGAATAGTCAAGCTTTTCCAAGAGGCCTTCCTTTATGCCAGTTTTCCCAACCTGAGCAACTTTACATTTGTCATCTTCAACTTAAGAGAATTCTTAGCCATAGCCATGGCTGGAAAATTCCAGAGTTGAACCCTATGCATCTTAAAATAGCTCAGGTTGGCAAGCACTCTTTCATCCTGTCTTTGTCAACCAGAAAGTGGCTTTTTGTTCAGTTTTTCACAATAGGGTGTGGAGAAAATTACTTGCTTTATCTGTTGACTACCGTCTGCCAATAGAAGAGAATATATGTAGCTCAGGGATGAAGTATGGAATCCTTGCTGCTTTTGGAGGTGGTTGTTTGCTTGCAGACCTTTTATTACCTAACTAGGTAATATCACCAGTGCTACTGAATGTGAGTTTTGCTCCCTTAAGGTAGCTTGCCTTGCTGGTGGGGGTGGGGTTTTCTCCTTGGTGGTTCCTTGATTAGGGTATTGTTTTCTGCTTCATTCTCTGCTGTTAATCCCTGCTTACCTGGGTGTGTTGACTGTTGGAGAGGATCTGTTTTTGACTTTTTCCTTCTTTTAACTTTTTATTGTCTCTTGTGATGGTATATAATTGTGGTTTATCTTTTTGTGTCTGTTGATGACTGATTTGTCTGAGTGCCAAGTTTCCACAAATTCTATAGCATTTTTGGATTCAACTTGGTCTGGGTCAGGGGTCTGCAACCTTGACAACTTTAAGACTTGTGGACTTCAGCTCCCAGAATTCCTCAGCCAGCTATGCTGGCTCAGGAATTCTGGGAGCTGAAATCCACAAGTCTGAAAGCTGTCAAAGTTGCAGACCCCTGGTCTAGGTTCACAGTTTCCCAGTTGAAACTGGTTGAGACTGTCCATGTGTTTATTAATGAGCTTTCATTGTGTATTCTAATTGCTGGTTGGTTTTTATGGATGAGTTCTTCTCATCTTCTGCCTATCTGTCCTACAGAGTCTATTGTCTGCTAAGGCTGAAAATGCTGTTACATGATAATACCTTTATGCAAATCAGATGCAGGAGCAATAAGGAATAGCCTGCCCAATTTATCTTTAAAGAAACTAAGCAGCAATATATTTTTGCTTCTCTATTGTGTTACCAGTGATATGTTCCTGCCTCTTTCTAAATCTAAATTCCACCAGCCTATTTTTGCTTAGGACAGTGTTTCCCAAACTTGACAATTTTAAGGCATGTGGACTTCAACTCCCAGAATTCCACAGCCAGCGTTGCTGGCTGTGGAATTCTGGGAGTTGAATTCCTCATGCCTTAAAATTGTCAAGTTTGGGAAACACTGGCTTAGGAAAAAATTAGAAATTAGTTTTCTAAAATAGAAGTCCTAACTTTCACCAAAAAGCTTTTTCCGTAATTGATATATTAACAGTAGATCTATTGAGCAAATGCTGGTATTTACTTTCAAACATTGGCCTTCTGTAGCCGTCAAATAAATGAACTTCTGACAAAGGGCACAACAAATTAATCAGATTTCCAACCCATAAAGGCAATACTTACATGTCTGCAGCAATTAACTGTTGGCCAAGATCTTAAGCCTCCTGCTATATGGTGCTCAATTCACTGTGTATAAAGATTCATCCATTTAAGAAACGATTCAATCCACATTTTTGAGAACCTTTTTTTATTTTCTTCACTCATCAGGTTATAGTCTTGGAACTGTTATCTTCCAAGATTTCACCCATTTTCTATTGGGAGCCTATGGGTTCTCCAGTTGTTACATCTGGATATTTTGAGTGTTTGGATTGGAGACCAACCGGAGACATCTGGGTTATGGGCTAAATTGGAAAGCTAACAAAATTTAGCCAAAGACAAAGGCAGACCGCATCTATATTGTTCCCAAGAAAATCTTATGGGACATCATCTATTCCCACCAATTTACTGAGGAAGTTATTTAATGAAACAAAAAGGCTAGCCTGATAAAAACTGTCCTGCAAAACTCCGTGTGGATGTCTAGAATGTATTGGTTGACTGCTTTATGAGCTACAGATTAGTATTTCAGTTCCCAGCCTTGGCAGTTTAAAAGGGTAGGAGCTTCATCTCCATTAATTCCTGTTTCTGAGAATTCTGGGAGTTCAAGTCCACATATCTGAAAGCTACCAAGTCTGAGAAACATTGCTAGAATCCGCAAAGAATTAATATAAGACAAATAGAAGAATAAAATTTACTTTTATATCATATAGACCAGTGGTTCTCAACCTGTGGGTTGGGACCCCATTTGGGGTCGAATGACCATTTCACGGGGGTCGCCAAACCATGCTGTCCACCATTTTTTTCCCTTTTCCCTAGCTGTCCTACTCCCTCTTATTGGTGGCTACACCCACTTGGGGGTCACCAGAACATGGGGAACTGTATTATGGGGTCACGGCATTAGAAAGGTTGAGAACCACTGATGTAGACAAATAAAATATGATTTTGAAGCATATCTTTGAATATCACTATCATTCCAAAAATATTTCCTTACAAAAAATATTATAGATTTTCAAATAACTATCCAGATTAGCAAACCAAGTACTAGAGACCATTAGTGTAAATGTAAAATGATAAAGATAGACAGATGATAGACATAGATAGATAGATAGATAGATAGATAGATAGATAGATAGATAGATAGATAGACTGATCCTAAAGTGATACAACAGAAATATGACTTTTAATGAATATCAAACAAAACTAGAAACTCACCTCTTTAGCTGAATCTGTGAGCAATTCTGTCCCATTCCTAACTTCCCCATTATTTGCAAAAACGGGAATGTTGGGACTGAAAATCATAAGGTCACTCTTGGCACCAGCCTCTGCACTCACCCCTGCCAGGATGTGGCTGTGGCGATTGGAATAGGACCAGCTGCCCACTTCACTGGCACAGACCAGGGTGGCCATGCCAGGGCCATAAACCATGGATTCCTTTGCCTTGCAGTGGCATCGCAGGGCCACGTAGATGAGAATGGCCAGCAAGAAGAGGCTGGAAACAGAGCAGATGGCAATGATCAGATAGATGTTGATCGAGTCCACCAGGGGTACAAAGCTCTCCGCTGACCTCCAAAGATTAATATCCGTTTTAATTGTCTGACCATTTGTCACCAGAGATACACTCAGGGTAGCTGTGGCTGACAGCTGAGGCTTCCCATGGTCCTTCACCAGAACCAGAACACTCTGGATTTTGCCGCCTTCTGACTCCTCCAGAGAATATTTGGTGCTCACCTCACCGCTATACTGGCCCAGAGACCATGGACTACTGCTTTCTTCAACCAGTTCATACCTGAGCCACGCATTGTATCCAGAATCCGCATCCAAGGCATGGATCTTGCCTACAATATGCCCAGGCATCACAGGGACCACTAGAAGAATCAGGTTCTCTTCTGATGATCCTGACACAGCAGGTGCATTGTCGTTCTCGTCCAGCACAAAGACTTGAACAGTTGCATTGCCACACAAGGAGGGCATTCCAGCATCCTTGGCTCTCACTTGGAACTCCACCAGTTTCAACTCCTCATAGTCCAAGGACTGCAGGGCATAGAGCTTTCCACTCTCCGAATGTACAGAGATGTAACTTGACAATGGCCACAGCTTCTCGTCTATCCAATAGGTGATCAGGGCATTCTCAGCTACGTCTGGGTCCAAGGCAGATACTGTGAAGATGTGAGCACCAGGGGGATTATTCTCCTTCACAAAGACTGTGTAGGAGGGCTGTGGGAAAGTTGGAGCATTGTCATTTATGTCACCGATAGGCACTAAGAGGCTGATACTAGAAGACAGGGGTGGAACGCCTTGATCTTCCACTGTCACAACCATCCTGTACTCAGCCACCTGCTCTCGATCTAGGACTGCACCAACAGTCAGGGAGTAGTAGTTCTTGAATGTGGACTCAAGTCTGAAGGGTACTCCAGGGGGAAAGAGGAAACAGCTGATTTGTCCATTGGTGCCAGAATCCCTGTCAGAAGCACTGAGGATGGCTACCACAGTCCCTGGAGGGGAGTCCTCTGGCAGTGGCACAGAGAGAGAATTCACAGATAATTCTGGAATATTGTCATTCATGTCCAAAACATCAACAAAAACTTCACAATGTCCTGATAATGGAGAACTGCCTTTATCTTCTGCTACAATTGGAAGTTCATAGCATTGAATATCTTCATAGTCCAATTTTCCAATCAGTCTGATTTCACCTGTTTCAGAATTCATAGTAAATAGCTTTGTGACATCCAGAGGTAGGCTATTACTAAAAAAATAAGAGATTTCCCTATTAATCCCCTCATCTATGTCTGTAGCATTCAGATTAATAACTAATGAGCCACTAGCTATATTTTCTAGCAACTTTACCCTATAAACAGATTGGTTAAATACAGGAGGGTTGTCATTAATATCAAGCACACTGATGAGCAGCTGAACAGTTCCTGTGAGTTTTGGTTCACCCCCATCAGTGGCTGTCAGTACTAAATGATGCATAGGGCTCTCCTCCCTGTCAAGTGGAACCTTTAACACAAGTACTACAGATTTACTCCCATCTTCATCATTTCCTGTATCAAGAGCAAAATGATTGTTTGTAGTAAGCTTGTAAGTTAACAGAGCATTAGTACCAATATCTGCATCAGATGCTCTCTCTAAGGGGAATCGGGTACCAGATGCTGTTGTGAGTTCAGCCATACTCAGGATCTGTTCCCTGGCAGAGAAGATGGGAGCATTGTCATTCATGTCTTTGACTTCCACCTCCACATGGAAGAACCTCAGAGGTTTCTCCACAATCACCTCCAGATGAAGGACACAGTCTGCAGTCTTGGCACACAGCTCCTCCCTGTCTATCCGGGAATTTACAAACAAGATCCCATTCTGCAGGTTTACCTCAAAATAGTCCTTCTCTCCTTTGGACAGCATCCGGAACATCCGAGGCACCAGCTCGCTCACCTCCAACCCCAGAGCCTGGGCGATGCGGCCCACAAAGGTGCCGTGCTGGGATTCCTCCAGCACAGAATAATGGAGCTGGCCGCTCCCCATTTTCCAGGCGGTCTGGAGCAGAAGCAGCTGCAGCAGCCCCGTCGGCCAGGTAAGCATCGCAGACACAGGCACAGCACCCGCAAGCCCTTCTCTTTTCCTCTAAATACCTTGCCTTCAAGGGGTCAGGAGCGGAGCCCCCGTAGCCCAGTCATACTGGCAATCTTTCATAGGTTGGATCTTGGCTTGTTGAGATTTCATGAACTCGGTCACCACTAGCCAACCTTGAATCTAGAGGATCAATCAGGTTTTTTTTATAAAACCTTTACTGTAGTTTTTGTTTCCTCAGATAGAGTAGCCCAGGTAAAGAAACCATCTGACAGTGAATGTTTGTCTGTGCGTGTAACAGACAGTAATTGTCCAGTTTTATTTCCTCCACCCTGGGACCAAGGAAACAAGTCAAAGGTTTCTTCTGTATGATATGCCTTCAGCTTCTTCAAGGATGCTAATAAAATGCACCCTCAATAAAATTTTCTTATCTCAAAGTTATAAACACATTTTTCAATTTCTCTTTTTTTCCCACCCCATAATCCTTATTGCCCTTATTAGCACTTTTTTGAATTTATCAGAAACTATACTATTTTGCCCAACCTTGGATATAGTACTTGAGAGGGCTTTAAATGTAATGCAATTACTACTTCCTATAATTTAGAAAATATAATTATGTTGATGCAGAAAAAAATTTCATTTCCCTTTTTGGATAGAAAACTATCTGGCACTGAAACAACTTTATCACCTTTGTCATTGTTTAAATTAGTGGTATATAGTGATAAACAATGATATTAAGAAAAAACGAAAACAAAAATCATCCCACTCATCCACAGTGAAATATCTTGTTTGAGTTAAAGAACTATAGAATCATGATTTTTTTTCCTGACTCACAACTGAAGATGGCAGAAAAAGTAACAGAATGAAAGTTGCATAGAGTTGCTTACCTCTTTAAAAATTGTTCCTCAAGATTTACAGTCTTTTAAAAGGACAGACTCCATGAAGATAAAAAATGCAGCGAATGAAGGAGAAAAAAATCATTCAACTTGAAATTTCTGTCAGACATCGCACCCTTATTGAACCAATGTTGAACATAAATAAAAATGTTCAAGTTGAAGTGACCACTTATAGAGTTAATTTCCCAGAAATACTTTGATTTTAAAATATTCTTTATAACATTTAGCAAGAATAGTATGTAATGATCTTTATTGAGAAATGTATATTTAATGTGTTTTCAGTATGGCTAGGATACAGGTTGGAAATTGAAACTGCTTATGATGTAGGCCTCTGTACAGAAATCTATTTGGGGAGACATATTTAAGTTCTACAATATGAGATCATATCTTTCATATTTCATTACCAAGCAGGATGGTTTAAATAGTTCTTCCACATCTGCCATGAGAAATAGTTGAGAAATGCTAGCTATTTAACAAAACTTATTTGGCAACAAAATGCAAGGTGCTTAAATATATTTTCTATTGATTTTTTTTCTTTATTCTTAGATACTTAAGTGAAGAAGTTAGGGTTTCAGATACAGGTAACTACAGAAAAATGTACTTGTCTCACAATCACAGCAATAAAGAAGTAGCAGATTCAATTATGGCGATATACCCATCATAGCAAGCAAATATTATCATTAATGGAGATTTAACTAAAACATATGAAATTCAAAAGAATACAAGCTATCTCCCCTGTTATTTATGTAAATGTTAGAAGTTTTAAATAGCGGTATCTGAGAGGATAAGAACATTACAGGAATAAAAATCAGAAAAGAAGTTTATAAATCGAGTGTTTTCACTGATGACTTAGATATATATTCTTGCAAGATCCCAAAACACTTGACAAAGAAGCTGAAAGACTTTGGAGCTTTAGCAGGCTTCAAAACAAATAAACAGAAAACAAAAATGCATGTTAAAAATATGGCTTCTCAAGAACATGAAATATTGACAAGAGAGTCAGGTTTTAAGATGGATAAAAGGATTAAATACCTTAGAATTACATGGACAAATACAAACTCCAAACTGTTTCAAAACAATTTTGTTCTTGTATGGAATTGCATTTAAAAAGACCTTATTAAGATTTGATATGTTTTATTGATGTTTTATCAAAGATGTTATTTTTATTTCAGACTTTACCAATATTGTCAACCTGATATCCCATTTAAACACTGGCAAAAACCTATTTTAAATTCATATGGCAAAGGGAAAAAAACGATAATTAATTGCCAAAGAAAGAAGAGCTTTCGGTTGAAATTGTATTTTGATATTTGCTGCTTGGTCTTTATGAAAGTGGGCGACTCTCCAAAACAAGAGATTATTTGAATTAGAGGGCCATGAATTAAGATTTGGATGGCATGTCTACTTGTGGTATGACAAGGTTAAGATGAATCTTGACTTTAAGAATCCTTTTGTTGTAACATCCTAAGGTTTTGCAATAATAATAAAACAAGATTCTCTATGAAGATACTGCTTTGGGTGTCAACCCAGGAAGTTTTTTTCAGAAAAGACCAATAGTGAGCTAGACTGATGGGCTTATGGTCAAATAATAACTTTCATGCAAGGTAAAACTATTCTTACATTTAAATAGCAATAGGACTTAGATTTATATACCATTTCACAGTGCTTTACAACCCTGTCTAAGCAGTTTACAGAGTCAGCATATTGCCCCCAACAATCTGGGTCCTCATTTTACCGAAGGATGGAAAGCTGAGTCAACATTGAGCCTAGTCAGGATCGAACTCCTGGCAATCAGCAGAATTAGACTGCAATACTGCATTCTAACCACTGCATCAACACAGATCTTAAGAAGAGTTAGAGTCAGAAGAATGTATCTGTCCTTGGTTTACTTATATACAATTAAAAGAAAGATTTAAACTAGACAGAAAAGTATGAATTTGAAATCGTATTGTGTGGTAATGATGAACATATTGCCAAGGTTTATAAACATCATTGAAACTGAATTTGGAGAATATGTGAAGCAATGCAAGATTCACTGGGCAAAGAATTTGTGGTTTAATATAATGCTTGAACAATGGGAACACATGTGGACAAAGGGTTTGAAATTTACACTGAAAAAAATAAATTGCATTATACTTTTTTATAAAACGATGTACCATTGGTATTTAACACCCAATAAATTGTCAAAGATGTATAAGATGTCACAAGTTAATGCTTTTTTCTTTTCTCCTCTTCATCCTATACTTCTCTCTTTCCCCTTTTCCCTTTTTCCCACTATTTTCATTAAAGTTCACATTGTAATGGTTTTATGTTCATTCTACTGCTCTAAAAAAGTTAGAAGTTAATGCTTTATCTTTTGTCTCCTTCATCCTACACTTCTCTCTTTCCCCTTTCCCCTTTTCCCACTGTTTTCATTTGGACTTTATACTCCAATAGGTTTAATAAAATTATATTATTTGAAAATGAAGAACCAGCTTGATTGCACAACCACCATCCCAGTTCTACCAAAGGTCATACACCAGCATAACCAAGCTATGTCCAGGCCAGAAACCTGACTGAAAGAAGTCCAAATAACCAGTTATCTCCAGGACCCTCTATAATCGTAGCACTACCATCTTCTCCTCCTCCTTTTGGAAACTGGCCCCAAATGGTCAAGTACAAATGGATCCAGTGAAGCTTCCTCAAAACAGCGGAAAACACACTGCTATGACTCCTTTCACTTTTGATTTGAGTTTTTTTAATCAGTTACTTTCTCCCCATTAGTGCAATTCAAAGTTGGAACCTCCTTTTGAGTTTGGAGATTTTTTTAAAGATATTCACTTTTTCCCCCACGTCTGTTTCCATTTACATGTTCTCACAGATCTTGTAATACTGCTTCCGGTCTCTTCTAGAAGTTCCTCAAAATTCCTTGTTAGGTTCAGTCCTGACCTCTTTGTCTTTCTTGGCTCTGGCGTCTTTTCTGGGAAATTTCTATTTTTATAGAAATAGAATACCAATCTCAGGCTGTCGAAACCTTAGATCTCCAAATCTTATTTTGTTGAAGGCTGCAAGGATTTCCTTTCTCCACATTTCATCTATTTTCTCAGATAGGATTGAATTACATAAAATAAAGCCCTAGGTTTTTTATATGACATAATCCTTCCCCCACTCCAAAAACACATACTAAATTGATGCTATTCTCAAAGATTTGAAGAGAATTATAGAATGTAAGTTTTGGGAGGGACCTTGGCTTGGAAACATCACTTGATTCCTTCCAACCTCAAAATGCATGACACTGCAGATGTTGCAATAAAAACAGGATAAAAGAATCCACCTAATGGTTGTTAAACTGTGAAGGCCATTCCAGTTTGGATTAGAGAGCTCTAGTACTTTGATCATTCTAGAAATAGGACTATCCAGTTACTAGTTATCATTTCTGTATTACAAATGAACTATCCAGCTGTTAACCCCTTTACAATACATTCTATTTCTAAATTTACCAACACTATATTAATAACATAGAATCCCCAAATCAACTTACAAATAAAGTTCTGTGCATCTAACAGATTAATAACATTCAGAGAATTTGCAATCCACACACTATCCATAAATATTGTCACAAAAAAGGCATCTCATTGAGAATTGATTCATCAAATAACAAAACTATCAATACGGGAAAAATCACTGATTAATGTTCATCTGTAAACAAGACAAAGATGAAGAATATTTTAGCAGAGAAAAATGATAATATAAGATGAAGAGTTTATGATTTAATAGCAATAGCACTTAGACTTATATAACGTTTCCCACAGCTTTGCAGCCCTCTCTAAGAGGTTTACAGAGTGAGTATATTCACCCTAACAATCTGGATCCTCATTTTATCGACCTCAGAAAGATGGAAGGCTGAGTCAACTATGAGCCAGTAAGGATCAAACTCTTGACAGTGGGCTGAATTAGCCTGCAATACTGCATTATAACCACTGTTTATGTGTTTACTATCATATAAAACAGATTCATTTACTATCAAGTAAACAACAAACTGCCTTTGAACCTTTCTGTAGCTCCACAAATTCAAAAAATATTTTTATAAAAAATATATTAATGATTTGTAATTCAATTTATTTACCATCAGTATCAAAACCTAAGAATTCAAAAACAATATTGTCTCAAGACTAATCCTAAATTATAAGCATAGCAGTAGGATGCTGGGCAGATGAGAAGTACTCCAACAGCTAGACTCACCTTTTTAGCAGAATCTGGGGGCACATCAACCCCATTAATTAGTTCCCCATTATCTGAAAAGATAGGAATGTTGGGACTGAAAATCATGAGGTCGCTCTTGGCACCAGCCTCTGCGCTCACCCCTGCCAGGATGTGGCTGTGGCGATTGGAATAGGACCAGCTGCCCACTTCACTGGCACAGACCAGGGTGGCCATGCCAGGGCCATAAACCATGGATTCCTTTGCCTTGCAGTGGCATCGCAGGGCCACGTAGATGAGAGTGGCCAGCAAGAAGAGGCTGGAAACAGAGCAGATGGCAATGATCAGATAGATGTTGATCGAGTCCACAAGGGGCACAAAGCTCTCCCCTGCCCTTCGAAGATTAATATCCGTTTTGATTGTCTGACCACTTGTCACCAGTGACACACTCAGGGTGGCTGTGGCTGAGAGTTGAGGCTTCCCATGGTCCGTCACCAAAACCAGAACACTCTGGATTTTGCCTCCTTCCGATTCATCCAGAGGATATTTGGTACTCACCTCACCGCTATACTGGCTCACAGACCATGGACTGCTGTTTTCTTCAAGCAGTTTGTACCTGAGCCACGCATTGTAGCCAGAATCTGCATCCAAGGCATGGATCTTGCCTACAATATGCCCAGGCATCATGGGGACCACCAGAAGAATCAGATTCTCTTCTAATGATCCTGACACGGCAGGTGCATTGTCATTCTCATCCAGCACAAAGACCTGAACAGTCGCATTGCCATACAAGGAGGGCATTCCAGCATCCTTGGCTCTCACTTGGAACTCCAGCAGTTTCAACTCCTCATAGTCCAAGGACTGCAGAGCATAGAGCTTTCCACTCTCCGAATGTACAGAGATGTAGCTTGACAATGGCCACAGCTTCTCGTCTATCCAATAGGTGATCAGGGCATTCTCAGCAACGTCTGGGTCTGAGGCAGATACTGTGAAGATGTGAGCACCAGGAGGATTGTTCTCCTTCACAAAGACTGTGTAGGAGGGCTGTGAGAAAATTGGAGCATTATCATTTATGTCACTGATAGGCACTAAGAGGCTGACGCTAGAAGACAGGGCTGGAACACCCTGATCTTCCACTGTCACAACCATCCTGTACTCAGCCACCTGCTCTCGATCTAGGACTGCACCAACAGTCAGGGAGTAGTAGTTCTTGAATGTGGACTCGAGTTTGAAGGGTACATCAGTGGGCAAGAGGAAACAGTTGATTTGTCCGTTGATGCCAGAATCCCTGTCAGAAGCACTGAGGATGGCTACCACAGTCCCTGGAGGAGAGTCCTCTGGCAATGGCACAAAGTGAGAATTCACAGATAATTCTGGAATATTGTCATTCATGTCCAACACTTCAATGAGAACTTTACAGTGCCCTGATAATGGAGAATTGCCTTTATCTTCTGCTACAATTGGAAGTTCATAGAACTTACTTTCTTCGTAATCCAATTTTCCAATTATTCTGATTTCTCCAATATCAGAATTTATACTAAACAACCTTGTGTCATGTAGAGGGATGCTATCATGGAAAAAATAAGAGATTTCCCTATTAATCCCCTCATCTATGTCTGTAGCATTCAGATTAATAACTAATGAGCCACTAGCTGTATTTTCTAGCAACTTTACCCTATAAACAGATTGGTTAAATACAGGGGGGTTGTCATTAGTATCAAGCACATTGATGACCAGCTGAACAGTTCCTGTGAGTTTTGGTTCACCCCCATCAGTGGCTGTCAGTACTAAATGATGCACAGGGCTCTCCTCTCTGTCAAGTGGAACTTTTAACACAAGTACTACAGATTTACTCCCATCTTCATCATTTCCTGAATCAAGAGCAAAATGGTTGTTTGGACTGAGCTTATAAATTAACAGAGCATTAGTACCAATATCTGCATCAGATGCTCCTTCTAATAGGAACTGGGTGCCAGAGGTTATGAATTCTGATATGCTCAGGATCTTTTCTCTGGCAGAGAAGACGGGAGCATTGTCATTCATGTCTTTGATTTCCACCTCCACATGGAAGAACCTCAGAGGTTTCTCCACAATCACCTCCAGATGAAGGACACAGTCTGCAGTCTTGGCACACAGCTCCTCCCTGTCTATCCGGGAATTTACAAACAAGATCCCTCTGCAGGTTTACCTCAAAATATAGCATCCGGAACATCCGAGGCACCAGCTGCTCTAGCAACTGCAGATCAGCTGTCCCATGATAAATGGGGGGTTGTCATTAGTATCAAGCACATTGATGACCAGCTGAACAGTTCCTGTGAGTTTTGGTTCACCCCCATCAGTGGCTGTCAGTACTAAATGATGCACAGGGCTCTCCTCTCTGTCAAGTGGAACTTTTAACACAAGTACTACAGATTTACTCCCATCTTCATCATTTCCTGAATCAAGAGCAAAATGGTTGTTTGGACTGAGCTTATAAATTAACAGAGCATTAGTACCAATATCTGCATCAGATGCTCCTTCTAATAGGAACTGGGTGCCAGAGGTTATGAATTCTGATATGCTCAGGATCTTTTCTCTGGCAGAGAAGACGGGAGCATTGTCATTCATGTCTTTGATTTCCACCTCCACATGGAAGAACCTCAGAGGTTTCTCCACAATCACCTCCAGATGAAGGACACAGTCTGCAGTCTTGGCACACAGCTCCTCCCTGTCTATCCGGGAATTTACAAACAAGATCCCATTCTGCAGGTTTACCTCAAAATAGTCCTTCTCTCCTTTGGACAGCATCCGGAACATCCGAGGCACCAGCTCGCTCACCTCCAACCCCAGATCCTGGGCGATGCGGCCCACAAAGGTGCCGTGCTGGGAGTCCTCCAGCACAGAATAATGGAGCTGGCCGCTCCCCATTTTCCAGGCGGTCTGGAGCAGAAGCAGCTGCAGCAGCCCCGTCGGCCAGGTAAGCATCGCAGACACAGGCACAGCACCCGCAAGCTCTTCTCTTTTTCTCTAAATACCTTGCCTTCAAGGGGTCAGGAGCGGAGCCCACGTAGCCCAGCCATACTGGCAAGCTTTCATAGGTTGGATCTTGGCTTGTTGAGATTTCTCTGTTGTTCGATATTTTCCTTGTGGATCTGGCCGGCAGGAATGTCTGTCCCTTTAAGGGAGGGCTCTGCATTTTCAGTTACTTAGAGGCTTTCCTTAGGAAACAGCGACCTCTTATGACCGCATTTCAAAATGGAGAAACAGACCTCTATTCTTTATTCAGCGTGTGTGGTTGAAGTGCTTAGGAATTCAGACACCTCTTGTGTCTGAATTTCAAACAGACTTCCATTCTGTATTCACGACAGATTTTTAAGAATTATCTAGTCTTCATGCACAGTTACATGCAGTGTAAGTACACTCCTGACCACATAAATGAAAAGCTAACCCAAATATAAGAGATTAATCCCCTGCAGTCATTAACAAAATGTAATTAAATATTATATTAAGTCACCCCATAAATTTGTTTAGTACTTTTATTTGTATGGACAGGAATGAGACATGTAACTATCTGTAACTTTTGTGATCTCATCCATTGTTCCCAGATGTACCATGGTGCTATTCAGGGAGCACTGAATTCGCTTCAAATCATATGAACTAGTTATGAGCAACATGAGGAATAATAAAACATCAGTATCAACAAGATACATAAAAGATAGGAGATAAATATGAAATACTGTCCGTGTTACTTTCCGTTTCTTGTCCAGGGTATGGAGTTCTTAAATAATTCAGATAAATGAAAAGCCAAGCAGTATATGAATTTCCAAAACATTTAATGTGATGTCTAATTGAGAATATTTTTTAAATTATGAGGAATTGAATAATCATAGAAATCTATTCCCTTTTTGCTTGCCATAATGATACTGACATAATTTCAACAACAACGCACATAAAGCAACTTAACTGACGACATTTAGAAAACTGATAAACTGATGTGTTGCCCTAAAAATTGAATTTACTACACAAACTACCATGGCTTGCCACTCACGTCATCCGTTTTGCATAATATATTCTTTCATGAACAATTAATAATTAGATTAATAATTAATCATTAGAGCTACTGTATTCACGCTTCAGAAATGTTTGGGAAGGTCCCTTGTTCTAAAATAGTTGACATATTTCTCGCAGCCCATATTGCTGTGAGAAAAGTATCTAGAATCTTGATAATTCATTTTTCATAAGCTGATTTATATATATATATTTTATGCTCTTTACATATTGCTATTTTAATTTGTGATATGTTTTGCTTTGTATGTTTCAACTTATGACTATAAATATAATCATTTAAAATGTCGTAATGTTCAAATTTTCTCTTTTCCCTGTTTGTTTTCAGTTGTCTGAACTGGACTGTATTGTGTTGTAATCTAAAAAAATAGTCTGAAGAATCTAACTTAGAATTACTGGGTTGGGTGGGACCTTGGAGATCTTCTAGTTCAATCCCCTGCCCAAGGCAGGGTTTTCATATCATCTTGGACAAATGATATCAAATCTTTTCCTATATATCTCCTAGCAACGGAGCACCCACAATTCCAGGAGAGAAGCTGTTACACTGCTTAATAATCCTCACTGTTAGGAAATCTTTTTTATTTCCAGGTTGGCACCCTTCCTTGCCACGCTATTTTGAATTTTGTTTTAATATCCATAGTTTATCTAATGTGGTTTGGGAAAGAGTAATATAGTGTCAGGGAGGGTCCCGTGGCTCAGTAGTTAAAGACGCTGAGCTTGTCAGTTGGAAAGCTGATAGGCCAGGTTCAAGACCAAGCACTGCATGAGGGGGTGAGCTCCCGTTAATTGTCCCAGTTCCTGCACACCTAGCAGTTTGAAAGCATGCAAACGCAAGTGGATTAATAGGTACCACTTTGAGGGAAGGTAACAGTGTTCCGTGCACCTCAGCATACAGTCATGCTGGCCACATGACCATGGGAATTTCTTTGGACAATGCTGGCGCCCTCAGCTAAGAAACGGAAATGGACAGGGGAAACCTTTACCTTTATTATGGTTTCAATTTTTTGGATAATTTATATATGTACAAAGAATTATAGATTTGCAAAGTGGGGGATATATTGAAAGAGATTACTCTTTTACAATGGAGAGATACTAAACATTTACTACCTTGGATCAGTGGATTCTGTATTTTTTCCCTCTTCATGTATTACAAAAGGAATACAAAAACTAGAAACTAGTTTAACCATGTAAAATCAGGAGTCCTCTGATTTCCTACCAAGTAGTGGTTATACGAGCTTAACCTTTCATATTTGCCTCCAGTCTGATGAGGACCTGTTGATCAACTTGTTTTAATGAAAGGTGTCAAGCCAGCTACAAAGTCACTTAAATAGGCAGGCCATCAAGCTCACATTTAAGTAGTTTGTCAAGCCACCCTGGTATTAGCTGTATTGGATGCCTCCAGATCAACAATGTGACTAACTCCAATTATGACATTTATCATTTTATCTTGTGCCCAGTTACTATCTTGCAACGTAGCAGACTGGAAAGCTAAATAGACTGAGCCCCATTTCATCTTTTTCCTGAACCAGTTTGATTTACACTCTTGGAACTGGATAGCCTCTCTGCATTTTTTTTCTCACTGTAATTTGCAACCAGGAAAGTAGTCAAGCTCTTGGAAGAGTCAACATTCTTATTTCTCCCAAATTCTGTACCTGATTTCCATTCATTCATTCATTATGAATCTTTAGTGCTGGTTATTGACTTAAAAATTGGGTCCCTAAATATTTATTTTAATCAATGTATATCTTCCCACCTCACAAAGATTTCTAACAACCTTTGTACTTGTGATTTTAGAACAAATCGAAAAATATAGACTCATATGGCTGGAAGGGACCTTGAGGTCTTTTAGGTCAACCCACTGCTGAAGGCAGGAGATGTTATTGTATCCTGGACAAATGGCCATTTGATCTTTTCTTGAATAGAGCACCCACAACTCTGGGGGGGGCAAACTGTTCCGTTGATTAATTGTTATCACTGTCAGAAAACTGCTCCTTAGTTCCAGCTTGAATTTCCCTCTGATGACCTTCCATCCATTACTTCTTGTCCTATACTCAGGTGCTTTGGAGAATGTCAACCTCCTTATCTCTCTGAATACCCCACACTAACTATCCAAAATGAAAGTCCAGTGCACAAATTCAGAAATAATAGCGTCCACAGGATCTATTGAGCAAATGCTGGTATTTACTTTCAAACATTGGCCTTCTGTAGCCATCAAATAAATGAACTTCTGACAAAAGGCACAACAAATTAATTAGATTTGCAACCCATAAAGGCAATACTTACATGTCTGCAGCAATTAACTGTTGAAGGACAAGATCTTAAGCCTCCTGCTATATGGTACTCAATTCACTGTGTATAAAGATTCATCCATTTAAGAAACGATTCAATCCACATTTTTGGGAACATTTTTTTATTTTCTTCACTCATCAGGATATAGTCTTGGAACTGTTATCTCTCAAGATTTCACCCATTTTTTATTGGGAGCCTATGGGTTCTCCAGTTGTTACATCTGGATATTTTGAGTGTTTGGATTGGAGACCAACCGGAGACATCTGGGTTATGGGCTAAATTGGGAGGCTAACAAAATTTAGGCAAAGGCAGACCGCATCTATATTGTTCCCAAGAAAACCTTATGGGACATCACCTATTCCCACCAATTTACTGAGGAAGTTATTTAATGAAAAAAAGGCTAGCCTGATAAAAACTGTCTTGCAAAACTCTGTGTGGATTTCTAGAATGTATTGGTTGACTGCTTTATGAGCTAAATTAGTATTTCAGTTCCCAGCCTTGGCAGTTTAAAAGGGTAGGGGCTTCATCTCCAATAATTCCTGTTGCTGAGAAGTTGAAGTCCACATATCTGAAATTTATCAAGTCTGAGAAACATTGCTAGAATACACTTAGAATTAATATAAGACAAATAGAATGAAATTTACTTTTATATCATATAGACAAATAAAATATGATTTTGAAGCATATCTTTGAATACCACTATCATTCCAAAAATATTTACTTACAAAAAATATTATAGATTTGCAAATAAATATCCAGATTAGCAAACCAGGTACTAGAGACCATTAGTATAAATGTAAAATGATAAAGATAGACAGATGATAGACATAGATAGATAGATAGGTAGGTAGGTAGGTAGGTAGGTAGATAGATAGATAGATAGATAGATAGATAGACAGACAGACAGACAGACAGACAGACAGACAGACAAACAGATCCAAAAGTGATACAACAGAAATATGATTTTGAATGAATATCAAACAAAACTAGAAACTCACCTCTTTAGCTGAATCTGGGAGCAATTCTGTCCCATTCCTGACTTCCCCATTATTTGCAAAAATGGGAATGTTGGGACTGAAAATCATAAGGTCACTCTTGGCACCAGCCTCTGCACTCACCCCTGCCAGGATGTGGCTGTGGCGATTGGAATAGGACCAGCTGCCCACTTCACTGGCACACACCAGGGTGGCCATGCCAGGGCCATAAACCATGGATTCCTTTGCCTTGCAGTGGCATCGCAGGGCCACATAGATGAGAATGGCCAGCAAAAAGAGGCTGGAAACAGAGCAGATGGCAATGATCAGATAGATGTTGATCGAGTCCACCAAGGGAACGAAGCTCTCCCCTGACATTCGAAAATTAATATCCGTTTTGATTGTCTGACCACTTGTCACCAGTGACACACTCAGGGTGGCTGTGGCTGACAGCTGAGGCTTCCCATGGTCCTTCACCAGAACCAGAACACTCTGGATTTTGCCTCCTTCTGACTCCTCCAGAGAATATTTGGTACTCACCTCACCGCTATACTGGCCCACAGACCATGTAACACTGCTTTCTTCAAGCAGTTCGTACCTGAGCCACGCATTGTAGCCAGAATCCGCATCCAAGGCATGGATCTTGCCAACAATATGCCCAGGCATCACGGGGACCACTAGAAGAATCAGGTTCTCTTCTGATGATCCTGACACGGCAGGTGCGTTGTCATTCTCATCCAGCACAAAGACCTGAATAGTCGCATTGCCACACAAGGAGGGCATTCCAGTATCCTTGGCTCTCACCTGGAACTCCAGCAGTTTCAACTCCTCATAGTCCAAGGACTGCAGAGCATAGAGCTTTCCACTCTCCGAATGTACAGAGATGTAGCTTGACAATGGCCACAGCTTCTCGTCTATCCAATAGGTGATCAGGGCATTCTCAGCTACGTCTGGGTCCAAGGCAGATACTGTGAAGATGTGAGCACCAGGGGGATTGTTCTCCTTCACAAAGACTGTGTAGGAGGGCTGTGTGAAGGCTGGAGCATTATCATTTATGTCACTGATAGGCACTAAGAAGCTGATGCTAGAAGACAGGGGTGGAACGCCTTGATCTTCCACTGTCACAACCATCCTGTATTCAGCCACCTGCTCTCGATCTAGGACTGCACCAACAGTCAGGGAGTAGTAGTTCTTGAATGTGGACTCGAGTTTGAAGGGTACTCCAGTGGGCAAGAGGAAACAGCTGATTTGTCCATTGGTGTCAGAATCCCTGTCAGAAGCACTGAGGATGGCTACCACAGTCCCTGGAGGGGAGTCCTCTGGCAATGGCACAGAGAGAGAATTCACAGATAATTCTGGAATATTGTCATTCATGTCCAATACATCAACAAAAACATCACAATGTCCTGATAATGGAGAACTGCCTTTATCTTCTGCAACAATTTGAAGTTCATAGCAATTAACATCTTCATAGTCCAATTTTCCAATCACTTTGATTTCACCTGTATCAGAATTCATAGTAAATAACTTTGTGACATCTAGAGGTAGGCTATTACTAAAAAAATAAGTGATTTCCCTATTAATCCCCTCATCTATGTCTGTTGCATTCAGAGTAATAACTAATGACCCACTAGCTGTATTTTCTAGCAACTTTACCCTATAAACAGATTGGTTAAATACAGGAGGGTTGTCATTAACATCCAGAACATTGATGACCAGTTGAACAATTCCTGTGAGTTTTGGTTCACCCCCATCCGTGGCTGTCAGTACTAAATGATGCACAGGGTTCTCCTCCCTGTCAAGTGGAACCTTCAATACAAGTACTACAGATTTACTCTCATCTTCATTATTTCCTGAATCAAGAATAAAATGGTTGTTTGGGCTGAGCTTGTAAGTTAACAGAGCATTACTACCAATGTCTGCATCAGAGGCTCTCTCTAAAGAGAATCGTATTCCAGATGTTATGAGTTCTGATATGCTCAGGATCTGTTCCCTGGCAGAGAAGACGGGAGCATTGTCATTCATGTCTTTGATTTCAACCTCCACATGGAAGAACCTCAGAGGTTTCTCCACAATCACCTCCAGATGAAGGACACAGTCTGCAGTCTTGGCACACAGCTCCTCCCTGTCTATCCGGGAATTTACAAACAAGATCCCATTCTGCAGGTTTACCTCAAAATAGTCCTTCTCTCCTTTGGACAGCATCCGGAACATCCGAGGCACCAGCTCGCTCACCTCCAACCCCAGATCCTGGGCTATGCGGCCCACAAAGGTGCCGTGCTGGGATTCCTCCAGCACAGAATAATGGAGCTGGCCGCTCCCCATTTTCCAGGCGGTCTGGAGCAGAAGCAGCTGCAGCAGCCCCGTCGGCCAGGTAAGCATCGCAGACACAGGCACAGCACCCGCAAGCCCCTCTCTTTTTTCTTTAAATATCTTGCCTTCAAGGGGTCAGGAGCGGAGCCCACGTAGCCCAGCCATACTGGCAATGCTTTCATAGGTTGGATCTTGGCTTGTTGTGATTTCTCTGTTGTTCGATATTTCCCTTGTGGATCTGGCCGGCAGGAATGTCGATCCCTTTAAGGGAGGGGCTCTGCATTTTCAGTTTCACTTACAGGCTTTCCTTAGGAAACAGCGACCTCTTGTGACCGCATTTCAAAATGGAGAAACAGACTTTCATTTTGTATTCATGACAGATTTCTAGTAAACTTCCAGTATTTATGAGCATATTAATGTATGTTTCCATAGACTGCTTCGAATTAATTCATGTATTTCTATGTTACTCTAAGTTTCATTATCATTTTTTCCTTAATCATTCAATCCCCTCTAAGAAACGTAATAGCTAAGGTTCAGCATTATGATTCAATATTGATACAAAATGTTTAAACTGTTAAGAAGTGTTTAATGACGAAAATATTTGACAAGGCGATTGGCTATCCTAAATCAGAGGCTAAACATAATGGAAAAATTGATTGAGAAGATAAAAGCAACAGGAACCCTGGGAAGAAGAGGCTACATTTTTTTTAAGGCACTACAGAGAGAGATGTGAGTCATACCATACATATAGCAGACACTTGATTTCCACATATTTGGAGATTTACTAGGCCAAAGATTGTGGAAAGAAATCCTCAGTCAAAGGGTGTGCAGGATATTTAGAAACTTCTCAAAATTAAGATATTGGTCGTACAATTGTATACTATTCCCATGTGAAGAAAAAAAGGCGTAATTTAGAAAAATATTATGGATACACAGGAAACTTTGGACTGAAATAAGAGCTGAACAAATATGTATAGAAAATAGAACATTGGCATTATCATCAAATAGATGTATTAGCAAGTAGCCAAGTCTGTAAAAAGAAAACCAGAAAGGCTAAAGGCTAAAAAGGATCTTAGGTTTCAAGGAAAGCTAAGAGCAACAAAAATTAGTGTTGGTCTACATCAATAATACATGAAAGAAAAAGGAGGATCTGCTGTTATGACAGGATGTAACTAGTCAGAGGAAGTAACTAGTGAGTAACAATAACTAGTGAGAGGGAGAGCTCAGAGCTCAAAGAAACTAATGTAGAGTAATTGCTTTAAGGATGAAGTGACAACCTAAGAAAAATAAAGAGAAATTTAGAGAGCATCTAGCAACCACAAACAAATTTAAATCTCCTGAGAACATTATGAACATTCAACAAACAAATGGATCACTGAACAAATCAACCCAGAGTTCTCATTCATGGCACAAATGACTAGCTCAAATTATCCTACTTCAGACACCTAACTCTCTGGACAAGATTCTAATGCTGAGTAAGATGCAAAAAAAAAAAAAAAATTGAAGGAAAGTGACTAAATCAGTGGATAAAGGAAATGCTGTGGATATAGTTTATTTGGACTTCAGTAAGATATTTGACAAAGTAGACCACAGCTTACTTCTTCATAAAATAGAATAATTGGGATAGAAAGTTCCACCATTGGATGGATTCAGAGTTGGCTGACCAACCGCACTCAGCATGTAGTTCTTAATGGAACTACATCTACATGGAAGGAAGCATGTAGTGGGGCACTTCAAGGTTTTCTCTTGGGCCCAATGTTTTTCAACATCTTCATAAATGATCTAGAACAGCGGTTCTCAACCTTTGTGTGACGGCGACCCCCGTCACACGGACGCGCCGCGCATGCGCCCCCATACGGAGCAACAATGATGATAACTAGAGGTTAAACCATATGATGAACAGTTGAGGGAACTAAGTATATCTAGCCTAACAAAGAGAAGGATTGGGGGGATATGATCATTTTCTTCCAGGACTTGAGGAGTTGTCAGAGGGTGGATGGAGCCAACTTATTCTCCAAGCACCTGAGTGCAGGACAAGAAGCAATGGGTGGAAGCTGATCAAAGAGAGATCCAATCTGAAACTAAGGAGAATGTTTCTGACAGTGAAAACAATTAATCAATGGAAAAATTTGCCTCCCAGAGTTGTGGGTGCTCACAGGTCTTCCAGAAAAGATTGGACAGGCATTTGTCTGAAATGCAGTAAGGTCTACTGCCTTGGGCAGTGGGTTGAATTAGAAGACCTCCAAGGTCCATTTTACCCTATGATTCTAGGAAAGAGAAGAAGAGGATGACCAACAGCAAGATAGATGGATTCTATTATAGAGGCTATGAGTACGCCACTGGAAAAACTGAAAGACCCAGTTAGGGACAGATTGTAATGGGGAAAAAATCTATATGTGGTCACTAAGAGTCAACAGCAATTTGATAGTACATAATCAATCAATGAAAAAGGAAGCAGATTTCAATTGGGCATTAGAAAAAATAATCTCAATTGTAAGAGTTGTTCAGCGATGGAGGCACAGCTGGAGGTGTAAATGCTCCTTTACTAGAAATATATAAGCAGAGTTAAGATGGTCATATGTATAAATGCTGTAAAATGTATACATGATGGAATATGATGCTGAACTGAGGGAGGAGTAAACAGCTGAGTAGCCTTGAGTCCCTTTTGAGTGCTGAAGGGAGATCCTTCCTAAAACATTTGGAGTATTTATCTAGTAGTTTTGTACTGCTTTATTCTGACAAGTCTCCTGTCTATAGGCAAGCAACAATAATCACATTATTTCTGGTTCCTTGCGCCTGACAGTATCTTTGCATTAGTTTATCTAATTTATTTCCAAGATCTTTTCTATAAGTCTATGGAGATTCTCAGTCATCCAGGTCAGTTATCCCAAAGATGCTTTTTCACAAGGCAAGTGGACTTTCTTGTTTTTCTTTGAAGATGTCTTGCTTCTCATCCAAGAAGCTTCTTCAGCTATGACTGGATGGTGGGGAATGGAAAGATTTATACTCCTGCAGACAGCTGCTCATTTGCATTCTTTTAGCGAGTCGAGTAGGTAAAGCTACCTGGAGGCTTACTTGTGTCTCCAGGGTCACCTGAGTAGTGCACACTGTCTTGTTAGGGTTGTAAAATGTAGATTTATCCTTCCAATCTTGAATAAATTTTCACCACTCCCCATACTAAAAAGTGGGGATCAAAGTGAAACTTATCAAGATGTCAATAATTAAGATCATGCACATATTTAAATTATATTTATATACAATATACAGTATACAGAGTTAAAATATCAAATTACATATATGCAGGCACAGCAACCAATTCCAAAATCAAAATCCCTGACTTTTCAACCCTTTTGCAGTGTAATACAGACAATAACTTCCTTCCTAAATAATGCTGAAATAGCATAATGCTTATGATTTTGCTTAGAATGTAGGAGATTCAAAATATGGGAGCAACGTATTTTGATTTTATTAATTATTTTCTTTTCCTGAGCAAGCTAGTTTTCCTTTTGGGCTTTTTGTTTAAAAATCACAGGGGCACTCTTTATCTAGTTAGCTGAGGTAGAATGATTTCACTTACGGATGAGTTATTGAAGCAATTACAATCAAACAGAACTTTGCTACATTCCTAAAGATTTAAAATTAGAACTTTCATTTTGGTCCAGCCCTCTCAATGAATAAAAAGGTGGGCTGTGAATTCTGCATGTCATTTGCAATGAAGTGGGCAGTGAAGAAAAACATATACTGATGATTTTACTTGCAGTACTGGAATAGCTGCAGAAATGTCCTGCATAAAGAAATACTATTGTATCCCCCCTCCATCAACATAGAAGGTAAGTCAATTACTAGCAATGTTTTTTTTTCCCAGTTGCACAGACACTGCAGAAGGATCTTGACAGACTTGAATACTGGATCCTATCCAGCAAAATGAAATTCAATGGTGAGAAAAGTAAGGTTTTCTACTTAGGCAAGAAAAATCAAATGCATAGGTATAGAAAGTGGTACCTTGCTCAATAGCAGTAACTGTGAGAGGAATCTAGGAGTCATAGTGGACAACCACTTAAATATAAGCCAGCAGTGTGCTGCAGCTGCCAAAAAAGCCAATGCAGGCTTAAGTTGCATTAACAGAGGGATAGATCACATGAAGTGTTACTACCACTTTATAATGCCTTGGTAAGACCATATTTAGAATATTGAATCCAACAACTTTGAGTATCAACAACATATGAAAAACTTTAGAAAGTCTAAGAGCAAACTTAAGGAAGTCCAAATAATCTTAAATAAACCTTAAATCCATATACACAGCATGAACACTGGTTTGAGAAGAGAAATCAAATTGAGAATCTATTCAATATGAAGAATTTATCAATAAAAATAAAATTATAAAATTATGCTTAATTTAATGATTTCTAATAATAGGATATAGATACCAGATAAAATAACTACATGTAGCAAAAACATTTTTCTGCTTTGCTTCTTTTCAAATTATATTGTTTATTAATTTATTAATTCCTTCCAGTTGCTAAGATATTCACAAGCAGTGTTCTTTTAAAAGTTTGGAATGCATGCATCAGCCATAAATATTATTAAAAAAAACCCATCAGACTGAGAATCCATACTTTATTCATTAAAGAATAAAATTATTCACAAAAGCAAAATTATTTTAATGTTTCATTTGTTTAGTAGAATCATGAACAAAAAAAAATGCAAAACATAATAAATACCCAGAGTCACTTTTGATGGAGAGATGCCATATTAAGTAAAATAATGGTAGTAAGTTTACTTATTTTTCTATTGGAGAAATAACTTTGAAAACTATTAAATAAACTACAAATTTAACATGTACCTCAGTAGCCACTTATATTCCAAAATTTCTTAGAATAAACGACTTTTAAATCAGCTGATTAACAAAGAGGTTCATTGCCAAGACTATTATTTTAAATTTAACACTTCAGTTGAAACCATATTTTGTATTGAGATCAACCCTAAAATAGAAACACAAATATAGGGTGTTGACTTTATGTCAAGGACTCCAAAAAGAACACAACTCACCTCTTTAGCTGAATCTGGGAGCAATTCTGTCCCATTCCTAAGTTCCCCATTATTTGCAAAAATGGGAATGTTGGGACTGAAAATCATAAGGTCGCTTTTGGCACCAGCTTCTGCACTCACCCCTGCCAGGATGTGGCTGTGGCGATTGGAATAGGACCAGCTGCCCACTTCACTGGCACAGACCAGGGTGGCCATGCCAGGGCCATAAACCATGGATTCCTTTGCCTTGCAGTGGCATCGCAGGGCCATGTAGATGAGAGTGGCCAGCAAGAAGAGGCTGGAAACAGAGCAGATGGCAATGATCAGATAGATGTTGATCGAGTCCACCAGGGGCACAAAGCTCTTCCCTGTCTTGGGGAGGTGAATTTCTGTTAGGATGGTCTGGGCATTTTTCACCAGTGACACACTCAAAGTAGCTGTAGATGAAAGTGGAGGCTTCCCATGATCCTTCACCACAATCAACACATTCTGGATTTTGCTGCCTTTTTCTGATTCATCCAGAGAATATTTGGTACTCACCTCACCACTGTATTGGCCCACAGACCATGAACCACTGCTTTCTTCAACCAGTTCGTACCTGAGCCACGCATTGTAGCCAGAATCCGCATCCAAGGCATGGATCTTGCCTACAATATGCCCAGGCATCATGGGGACCACTAGAAGAATCAGGTTCTCTTCTGATGATCCTGATATGGCAGGTGCATTGTCGTTCTCATCCAGCACAAAGACCTGAACAGTTGCATTGCCACACAATGAGGGCATTCCAGCATCCTTGGCTCTCACCTGAAACTCCAGCAGTTTCAACTCCTCATAGTCCAATGATTGCATAGCATAGAGCTTTCCACTCTCCGAATGTACAGAGATGTAGCTTGACAATGGCCACAGCTTCTCGTCTATCCAATAGGTGATCAGGGCATTCTCAGCTACGTCTGGGTCCAAGGCAGATACTGTGAAGATGTGAGCACCAGGGGGATTGTTCTCCTTCACAAAGACTGTGTAGGAGGGCTGTGAGAAAGTTGGAGCATTATCATTTATGTCACTGATAGGCACTAAGAGGCTGATGCTAGAAGACAGGGGTGGAACACCCTGATCTTCCACTGTCACAACCATCCTGTACTCAGCCACCTGCTCTTGATCTAAGACTGCACCAACAATCAGGGAGTAGTAGTTCTTGAATGTGGACTCGAGTTTGAAGGGTACTCCAGTGGGCCATAAAAAACATCTTACTTGTCCATTGGTACCAGGATCCTTGTCTAAAGCACTGATGATGGCTACTACAGTCCCTGGTGTGGAATCTTCTGGTAATGGCACAAATAAGGAATTGACAGATACTTCAGGAATATTGTCATTTATGTCCAATATGTCAATGAGAAGTTTACATTGTTTGGACAATGGAGGACTGCCTTTATCTTCTGCAACAATATGAAGTTCATAGAAATTTGTGTCTTCATAATCCAATTTTCCAATCACCGAGATTTCCCCAGTATCAGAATTAATATCAAATGTATTTTTAAAATGTAGAGGTACTTTATTACTGAAAAAATAACAAATTTCACTATTAATCCCTTCATCTAAGTCTGTAGCATTCAGAATAATAACTAATGATCCACTAGCTGTATTTTCTAGCAATTTTATCCTGTAAAGCGATTGATCAAATGTAGGAGGGTTATCATTTCCATCCAGCACATTGATGACCAGCTGAACAGTTCCTGTGAGTTTTGGTTCACCCCCATCAGTGGCTGTCAGTACTAAATGATGCACAGGGCTCTCCTCCCTGTCAAGTGGAATCTTCAGTTCAAGTAGTACAGAGTTGCTCTCATCTTCATCACTTCCTGAATCAAGAACAAAATGGTTATTCATGCTGAGCTTGTAGGTTAACAGCGCATTGGTACCAATATCTGCATCAGATGCTCCTTCTAATAGGAACTGGGTGCCAGAGGTTATGAGTTCTGCTATGCTCAGGATCTGTTCTCTGGCAGAGAAGACGGGAGCATTGTCATTCATGTCTTTGACTTCCACCTCCACATGGAAGAACCTCAGAGGTTTCTCCACAATCACCTCCAGATGAAGGACACAGTCTGCAGTCTTGGCACACAGCTCCTCCCTGTCTATCCGGGAATTTACAAACAAGATCCCATTCTGCAGGTTTACCTCAAAATAGTCCTTCTCTCCTTTGGACAGCATCCGGAACATCCGAGGCACCAGCTCGCTCACCTCCAACCCCAGATCCTGGGCGATGCGGCCCACAAAGGTGCCGTGCTGGGATTCCTCCAGCACAGAATAATGGAGCTGGCCGCTCCCCATTTTCCAGGCGGTCTGGAGCAGAAGCAGCTGCAGCAGCCCCGTCGGCCAGGTAAGCATCGCAGACACAGGCACAGCACCCGCAAGCTCTTCTCTTTTTCTCTAAATACCTTGCCTTCAAGGGGTCAGGAGCGGAGCCCACGTAGCCCAGCCATACTGGCAAGCTTTCATAGGTTGGATCTTGGCTTGTTGAGATTTCTCTGTTGTTCGATATTTCCCTTGTGGATCTGGCCGGCAGGAATGTCGGTCCCTTTAAGGGAGGGGCTCTGCATTTTCAGTTTCACTTAGAGGCTTTCCTTAGGAAACAGCGACCTCTTGTGATTATAATTCAAAATATTTCCATTGTGAAAAAAGACTTCTTTTTTTCTATACCTACATGTTACATTAATTTGTTTCCTTTTTTATGGATAGGTACTTTTATTTCGATTCCTAGCAATGGGGTGTGTGATTGTTTGCATCTCATGCTATCCTTCCCTGCACAAATAAGTGGTTGATGTAAAAATGGCTGATTAAATCAATGAATATTCCTCCTTCCCTTTTCCCCACATTCTCTAGATTCTAGAAGCTTGCCCTTACAGTCAATTGTTAAATTTCCCAATGCCCACACTTTATATCCCAAATGGGTTCAACATTTCCCTTGTTTTCCCACTCTACAATCAATACAGAGTTTTGCACAATAAGGAAAGTTTCCCTTTTCTTTATTTAAAAAAAATGTTTCGGTTGCAACATAATGGAATAAAGCTATAAGATTTCAGTAAATGCCATTTTGTTTTAGTGAAGTTTAATCATCAGGTTTTTTTCCTTGCTTCAAAGTTTTCATGGTCTTGCGGTGACATGTAGCAATGAAGGAACAATCTGTTTCCTTTAATATAATCATTTCTGCATCGAAGTAATGATGTTGCAATAAAAGGGGGAGGGGGGAAATTTAATAAAAAGAAATTAGCATCAAAGGAGGGAACATGGAATGGACTGTGAAGGTATCCATAGGTGCACATATCTATGAATGCAAAGGAAAAGAATGGGAACTAGTTAAGAGGGAACTATCCATAAAGTTAAAAGAAAGATACTGGGAGACCTACACACATGGGGGCTAGCAAGCAACATTTGCCTGTCTCCATGACTGAGAAAGCCAACAAGCAGAAGAATGGCCTGTGGTGGCCATTGTCTTGAAAGCACCAATCCAGCTCTCTTGTCAATCCAGTCTGGAATTTCTAAAGTCAGCTCTAGGAAGTGAGAGGGGGGTCAGCACAAGGGGCCTCAGGATCAGGATTAAATAAACTAATGAATCCCATTTCAAAGACTGTTTTGAAGTTCCCATTGTTCACTCATATAAAAATATGTATATTGTTATGCATGTGTACCTCTATGCATTTTTCTTTTTGTTTTTTCATTCTGCAATTGTTAAGTTTTTATGGTTGCAAGTTCTTCTGAAGTTTTATTTTGTTAAATAAAAGTAAACCACTTTTCATTAGGAAATATCAAGATGGCGGCAAAAGAGGAAGCATGGTTACATCGCAGGGAGAAAAGTGACTATTAAATTAAGACAAAATGGTAGGAGGAGAGGTTGAAAAGGAAAGATAGGTCATTGAGGGGAAAAAAGACTGGAGAAGAGAAAAGAAGAGGAAAGATTCAAGGAGTTACAAGGAAGACACCAACAAGAGTGGTGGCCTATGGCAAACTTGCCTGCTGAGAGGGGCCCAGATGCACTTGAGAGGCCTACCCAAGAGACCGGAGGCCATTGAGGAGGATTTGGAGTGCCCTGCCATCCGATAGAGCAGCCGCACAGGATCATAAAGGGGATGTCGGAGGACTTCTAGGCCAACGGAGGCCCAGCAACCCAGCCCAGCCCAACAAAGTGGAGACCGGTGCACCAGCAGCTCGAGCGGTGGCGAGAAGGTTGCCGGCGGCAGCACAGAACAGCGGAACAGTGAAGCGGCTGGGGGCAGCGCAAAGGCGGTGGCAACGCAGAGCTGCAGGCTGGTGAGGCAGCTGGGGGCAGTGCAGAAGCAGTGGGTGGAGGCAGTGGAAAGCAAAGACAGAGAGGCAGCTGGGGGCAGCGCAGAGGCAGCGGGCGGCTGCAGCAGGGAGCAATGGATGGAGAGGTGGTTGTGGGCAGTGCAGAGGTGGCGAGCAGTGGCAGCAGACTGGGAGGCCTGCAGGCGGCAGCAAGGCAGCAGAGCAGCGGAGGACCCGACTGGCAGCTCGAGAGAACCTGGCTGAACAGAGAAGCTAGAAACAAGGCTAACAGCAAAGTACATCACCAACCAAAAAGAGGGATTTTCAAACAACAAACTCATGGAACAGGTGGTATGCACTACATATTCCATGTATGTGCTTATGCCCAAAGAACACCCAGACTATACATGCATTAGATGTAAACTATGTGAACTACTACAGGAAAAAGTAAGGAACTTAGAAGCAACTCTAGCCAAACGCCAACGTACAAAAGAAAGCTCTACCCAAACCAAATCAAATAATGAACAAATAACTCCCAGAGGATTTGATAAACTCTTGAAGGAAGACAAATGGGGGTATGTCACACATAGGAGGAAACACAATACTCAAAGAAAGAAGCAGCATACAACTAACAAACCCCTTCTGGCCAATCAAACCAACCAGAAGCAGCCCCATTAAAACTGAGCAATCAATTTCTCCCCTTAAATGGAAACATGAAGACCCACAAATTCCCCCTCAAAGAAAACATGCAGACACCTAACAAAGAAACAACTTCAAATATCCTCTAAAAAGTCAATTCAAATATTCCTTAAAAAGTCACATCAACAAACATACTTGAGATAAACACACCTGAGAAAAGCACCCCAGACTGCAGCCCCCCCCCCCAAAGGAAAGCGAGTGTTGGTAAAAGGAGATTCTGTTCTCAAAGGAACAGAATCATGCACCTGCAGAACAATCCAGGGAGGTATGTTTCCCTGGAGCAAAAATCAAACATGTGGCTGAGAACCTAACCAAAATAATTAGGCCTACAGATTACTATCCTTTCCTTCTCCTCCACATTGGGATGAATGACACAACAAAGAACCTGAGTACAATAGTGAGAGATTATAAACAATTAGGCAATAAAGTTAAGAAGCTAGGAGCACAAATAGTGTTCTCATCAGTACTCCCAACGAAAGGCCAACACCCACCGAGGGAAAAAAGAATTCTAGAAATAAACCATTGGCTAAAAGGTTGGTGTTGCCAAGAAAACTTTGGTATCCTGGATCATTGACTGCATTTCCTGCATGAAGAACTCTTGGCAAGGGATGGGCTGCACCTCACAAAAACAAGGAAAATGTATTCAGAAAAAGACTGGCTCAACTCATCAGGAGGGCTTTAAACTAAAATTGAGGGGGGAAGGTGGCTCAACTCATCAGGAGGGAATTTCCATGAGGGGGATCCCCAAATCAATGAAGGTCCAGAAAGAAAAACCAATCACAAAACCAAGCAAATCAATACAATGAGGTAGGGATGATGAGGCAAAAAACTCAAACAAGGCTTGGAGATTCACTCATAAGCGGAGGGCATGAGGGTCTTAAATAGCTATACAGCTTGGAGAAACAAAATAGGATGAACTAGAAGGCAATAGTACATGAGGTGAGAAGGAATTACATAGCTGGCATTACAGAAACCTAGTGGGATGAAACCCGTGAAAGGTGGAGGAGGGAACTAGACATAAAGCTGATTTTTTTTTCCAAACTCTCAACATCTTTTTTGTGATATGGCGATCAAATTTGGCTGCAGTATTCCAGGTGGAATACTATGGTTTTATAAAGCGATACTAATACTTTGCGTGATCTTGATTCTATGCCTCTGTTTATACAACCCAGGATTGTATTAGCTTTTTTGGCTGCTGCTGCACACTGCTGGCTCATAGTCAAGTGATCATCCCTTTCACAGTTACTGTTTTTAAACCAGGTCTCGCCCAATCTATACTTGTACCTTAGATTTTTCCTGCCTAAATGTAAAACTTTGCTTTTCTCCACATTGAAACTCATTTTGTTGGATAGAGCCCATTGTTCACGTTTGTCAAGATCTTTTTGGATCCTGAGTTTTTCTTCTGGGGTGTTGGATACTCCTGCCAGTTTGGTATCATCTGCAAATTTGATGAGTTCCCCTTCAATTCCCTCATCTAAGTCATTGATGAAGATATTGAAGAGTACTGGGCCTAAGACGGAACCTTGTGATACCCCACTGCTTAATTCTCTCCAAGTGGATGTAGTGCCATTGAGAACTACTCGTTGAGTATGGTTTGCCAGCCAGCTACAGATCTATCTGCTGGTGATGTTGTCTATTCCACCTTTTTCTAGCTTACCAAGGAGTAGGTTATGGTCTACTTTATCAAATGCCTTATTGAAATCTAAGTATGTCCACAGCGTTTCTCTGATCTACTAGTTTAGTCACTTTCTTAAAGAATGAAATAAGATTGGTTTGGCATGATCTGTTTTTAACAAACCCATGCTGGCTACTAGTTATAACTTTGTTTGCTTCTAGTTGTTCGCAGATCTGTTTTTTAATTATCTTTTCTAGGATCTTCCCAGGTATTGATGTTAAACTGATTGGTCTGTAGTTTCTGGGTCCATTTTTTTTCCCTTTTCCAATCCTCAGGTACTTCCCCGGTGCGCCAGGATTTATGAAAGATGTGGTGCAATGGTTCTGAGATAACATTTGCAAGCTCCTTCAGAACTCTGGAATGTAATCTGTCAGGTCCCGGTGATTTATATTCGTCAAGGTCGGATAGATGTTCTCTTACCATTTTCTTGCTTATTTTAATTTTTGTTTCTAGTTTGTCTTTTGCAGTGGGTGTTTTTTTTTGGGGGGGGGGGTATGATGGGCTGTAGTTTCTTTTTGTGTGAAGACTGATGCAAAGTATAAGTTAAGCAGCTCTGCTTTCTCCCTGTTCAAAGGCCTGGATACTAAAACATACGAAGAACAGCTGCAGGACTTGGCTTTGGCTAGTCTAAAGAAAAGAAGAAATAAGGAAGACATGATAGCAGTATTTCAGTATTTGAAGGGCTGCCACAAAGAAGAGGAGGTCATGCTGTTCACCAAAGCAGCAGAGGGCAGGACAAGAAACAATGGTTGGAAACTGATCAAAGAGAGAAGGAAGAAGGGTGACTCTACTCTGATGGCTGAAAGTTCATTAAGTCAAGGAACACAGTGAAAAATATGTGACTAAATATGAAAAGGATCAAACTAATGACAAGTACAGCAACTAGCATTACAATTGACAGTTAAATACTGAATTGATACATAGCTTCTGCCATTTAGGATCAAATAAAGGAATCCACAGGCTAG